GGTCGATCGTCGCATTTGGATGTCGCGCATTGCCTCCCATCCTTGGTTTGACGCGATTCGGCCCACCCGTCGTCGAGGACGGTGGTATTGACCTGGTGAGTACCCCCTCCTACCTCCTATCGTAAAGTTGCTCTTTCTCACTCATTGTTGCGTGTATTTGTGACGTTGCGGGGTCAATCGACGCGTGTCGATGTCCCGCATCTCCCCCCGTACTTGACTTGATGTGATCCGGCCCCTTCGTCGTCGAGAACGACGACATCGACCTGGTGAGTACCCCTTGCTACCTTCTATCGTAAATTCGCTCGTTCTCACTCAATTATGCGTGCATTTGTGACGTTGCAGGGTTGATCGATGCGTGTTGATGTTCCGCATCGCCCCCTGTACTTGGTTTCATGCAATTCGGCCCACTCATCATTGGGAACAATGGTATTGATTTGGTGAGTACCTCTCCACCCCCTTCTCTAGCTTATATGTACCACAGTACCCACGGGTACCCCTCAGGTACCTACAAGATACCCGTAGACTCATTCTATCCATGAGTACCTGCCCATTGGCAAGTACCTGTATCCATGGATATGGATACCTGTTCCCACGGATGCCACCCCAGATACAGGTGTGGCCTCTGAGGGAACAGGTACTTGTTCCCACGGATACAGGTACTCGCACGGATATAATCGTGGCATGCCCTGGTTCACCGTTTCAATTTCGACTTTGTGTGCTTTGTTTCATGGGGATATACGAGTAAGTAGTGCCGCCGGCAATACTGACGGCAGTACTCCCATAAACCACTTCACGTTAGCGTGTTCATTGCTTCTTCAACACACACTCCTCCAGAGTGAATCAACGGAAATGAAAGACACCGGAGTCCTCATTTTGTCCTCGGGCGATTGCGAGCCACGAATTGCGTGCTCGTGTCGCGTGGCAAGGATCTCTCGTCATAGAGCGTGATTCGGTGGCATTCAATACCTTGTGTCATTGTCAGGAGGGATCACAATGATTGGGGTTTTCGTTCTCGTGTCCATGCTCGTTTGGAGGTTTGGAGTGAGGTGATTTGCAATGACATGCAAGGTGTGCGTGCATCAGGCGGATTCATGCATTCGTTTAACTGTGTATCGATGGCTTTCCTTGTCGGCTTTGATTCAATACATACGACGGAGAGTTTGGTTGGTGCGCATCGGCCACGTTTGCGTGCGCTATTTGGAGCGATTGATGATTGCAGTCAGCTGTGCACACGTAACATACATTCGACCCACGATCTCGGGCTATGAGATGTACGTCCTGCGCATCTTCGAGGTTTTGGGCTTTTGGTGTGGATGTGTTTTGTGGCTCCAAGTCAGGAGCTCACAATACAAGATGACAACACGGGAAGGTAGCGATTCACGCGGGTCTTTCGCCAGATAGTTTTCTTGAACGACTTGACGGAACGAGCGATCGTTCCCCAAGCGAAACTATCTCGAACGCACGTTAATCTTCCCTATTGCCGTTGTATTTACCGTATCCCAATATTCTCTGTCAATCAATATTTTATTTTCATTCATCTTTCTGTGGTCTTGAAAATATTCCGCTAATCCACCATTATCCCCAATAGTGCCCAGTAACCCGACCCGAATGGGTCGACTTCCTCCCCACATCACACCTGCGCAACACCTCTCCAACATCCTATGGCTGCTACCCCCTCCTCAGTCCCCCGCCGCTCGCCGCGCCCACAATATTGAGCTACCTCAGCCTCGCGCCAAAGAGCGTGAATAAGGCGGATACGTTCAAGAATAGTCCGTTGGCACCGAGTGGGATCTGGGAGATGTTGAGGGAGGAGGCGGAGGCATTGAGCGCGGAGGATGAGAAGGATGGGGAGGTCAAAGGTGGTGATGCAGAGAGGGAGGGAAAGCGTGTGGAGGATGGTACGGTGGATAGTAGGGGAAAGGCGAAGGAATGTGAGGAGGGGGAGAATGAGAAGCAAGTCGCAGAGGGTACAGACACTACCGCCGCCACCGAAAAAGTCAGGCCAGTCCAGGAGCCGAGGGACCTCGACTTCCACCACCTTCAGCTCAGTTTCGAATGGGAATCAGAATGGAAACGTGCTCTGAGCCTCGCGAAGCGTGTGCCGCAGCCTGGGTCTGGCATCGGTATGGGTCCGCTCGGAGCGATGCCTGCTGGTGGATTCGGATTGGGCAGGATGGGGCCTGGAGGGCCGGCAGGGGCGATGGGAGGACTAGGGGGTGGATTTGGCAGGATAGGTGGATTGGGAGCGGGAGCGGGTACGGCAAACCCGCGGGTGCAAGAGAAGGAGACGGTGAGGCCTACCGAAGTGTTCCAGCTGGGAAGCTTGGAGGGAGTCTGGGAGGGGTTGTTCACCGTGCGTCTTCTTCATTGTTTTATCCTCTTCGTCTCAAGAAAGACACTGATTTTGGTTTTTTCCTGTTTAGTACACGGAATACACAGTGTACGCCGTCCTCCTCTCCGGTGCTCCTCCACCCACACTCCTCCGTGCCCTCGTCGCTCGGCATCAACAGACCTGGAAACTCCGTGAATACCACCTCCTCAGTCCCGAGGTACCGAACGGCAACTCCGGCACCACCACCACCACCACCAACAACAACAACAACACGAACAACACCAACACCAACACGCAGAACGTGCCCGATCAGTACTGCCCGCTATCGATGGGAGACCCGCTGACGGCGTACCTGCCCATGGGGGTGGATATCAGCGTCGTCGGTGGCGGGCAGGAGAGATTGGAGGTGAGGGAGCCGGGGAGGAGGGAGACATTGGTGTATTACCGCTGTCCTTTACCATCCGTGCCCTCCACAGACGCTCCCACCGCCCCTTCAACATCTAATCCACTCGCTGCATCCATGACAACGACGACGACCACAACCACCACACAAGACAAACTCGAACCTGTCACGCAACCCACCTATCAGCGCCACGTGCATGAAGTGCTCCTCACAGGCGAAGGCCACTCCGCATGGGGCCAGTTTAACCTCGTCGGCCGTGTGCGACCATATGACGGGCTCGTAAGCCTGAGTAAAGTGTATCTGGATGGAGACCGCGGGAAGTGATCGTATCGTGGGTTTTTGGTGGGCAATAAATATGGGAGCTTTACGGGGAGGTGGAGGGATACGGTGTCGCCGGCGGCGGCGCCGGGCTATGAGGGATGTTTCTTTATGGGGAGGAAGAGGGGGTGAGTAAGTGTGGAAATCGTGCGTCGTACGTTTGTTGTGAATTTTGTTTTTTGGACTTTTTTCTTGATTCTTTCTCGTGTTTAAAGGCCTCGCTTTTGATATGGTATGCTGTCTGTCCGAGTCCTTTAATACCCATGATTTGGATTCCTTTCTTGATTACACCCTCCCTCTTCCCGGGAGCTGCTTCTCTGTCTGTCTGATATCTCGTTACATCTCTCATCGTTACTCGCTCTCTATTGCTGCTCTTTTCTTGCTTTTCTGTCACATCATCTATCCGATCTTCTTTTCCTCTCGACTCTCAAACTTAATTCAGGATCTCTGTTCTATAATCCATGTTTTATGATGTGCATTTTTTTGGTTCTTCATGTCATTTCGTGTCATGTCAATCTGTACATTCCCGGTCTCGTACGTACACACATACATATCGCCTCGTCTTCCGTCGGCGCCCGTGCCCTCCTGAGAGCCGTTAGGTCATGTTTCTTGATGTAGGTGCACTGTAAGTAGTGTATGAGTATTGTCGATAGTCGATGATGATTGTTTTGTTCATTCGTGAGGTGAAGTATCGTAAAGCTCCTCGATGATCGTCGGACTCCAAGTCACTAACCTGCCCGAAAATGGCCTTTTTGCCGTTGAGGACGACGACTTCCCACTCTGTAGGGAGGCATGGTGCGCTTTTTTTCGCTTCCTGTTTTTGATTTTTTTTTCTTTGCTCTCCTAGGCTCCATATGATCCACCAAGACCCTCTACATCACATTTATGGTCGGTGCTTGCGTACGCCGTCGACAATTCGACTTTTTGGTTAGGTGGGATCGGGCACAAGCCCCTCCCTCTGATTTTTTTTTCTTTTGACCTGTGTTATTTTTAAAAGCTGACCGACTCCTCGCACCTAGGGCATCTCATTAAGCCCTCATCAACGTCACTCGGTGATGTATGGAGCTCGCAATGCCAACTTTCAGATTCTTAGCCCAAAATGGCCTTCCCGAGCCTACATGGCTCTGCAGGTCATTGTTCGTGTAAGAGCCTGTGCTATTGGCTCCAGGAAAGCATATATCGTCCAGTGGTGAGTGTTTTTTGTACTCTCTACTTGCTTGGCTGGACGCGATGTCTAGGCCTGGTGCTTTATCCCGAGTACTGAAATATGTCCTAGGTCACGGTAGCTGTTTAGATCACACATCACAGTGATTATCCCTACCCTGTCTCGGGACGCTTCTTTTCTCTTGACGTGAAAGACATTGTTCCTTGGCCTTTTCGATGGAGAACCCGACAAAACCATCTCAGCGCTGGACGACCGCCATGATGAGAGATGATTGCTCAACGAGGCTGGGACGACATAGCCAGTAATCGTTTAAAGAGTTTATGTTTTCGCTACCGTAAATCTGTTCATTCTCAGTCAATTCCGCGTATATTTCCGATGTTGCGGGGTCAATCGATGCGGACTAATGGCCTTCATCACCTCCCGTACTTCGTTTGATGCGATTTGGCCCACCCGTCGTCGAGGACGACAGTATTGACCTGGTGAGTATCCCTATACCCCCTTCCCCAGCTCATATTTACCACATTACCCACGGGTACCCCTCAGGTACCTTCAAGATACCCGTAGATTATTTCTATCCATGAGTACCTGCCCATTGGCAAGTACCTGTATCCGTGGATATGGATACCCGTTCCCACGGATGCCACCCCGGATACAGGTGTGGCCTCTGAGGGCACAGGTACTTGTTCCCACGGATACAGGTACTCGCACGGATATAATCGTGGCATGCCCTGCGACGGACTGAACGAGCGAACACTCAGGGAGTATGGGAGGCTCGATATCTGGCTTCGTAACTTTTGGTTCGATCCCGAGGGGGGGAGCTTCGATACGTATACCATCAAAGATAATCTCTGGCCACCGGATTCGGAGTTCTCGACGCTGGCCATGTGCACCAGAGCCAGCAGCCTCATTATAATGAGTCACGGTAGTACCGTGAAATCACATTATAATGAGTAGCGGCAATCCCGTGGGCCCTTGGTGGGCCCCTCATTATAATGAACGCCCCTTGCAGACCTCTGCCTGTACCGGCCAAATTGGGCCAGCTGTCAATATGTGATATATTATTTCTGCTGTAAATCATAAAAGCAGTATGTTGGACGTCCGAAAAGAGATATAACTGGGTAGATACTTTGTGCTCGGAGGTGTGGCACAAGTATGTTCATCCTAGGTGTGGCCCAGCTGTAGTGATTTGGATTTTGGGTGGCCGGGTAGGGTCTAGGGGCGGGTTAGGGACGGGGTAGGGGTTCCTAGGACCGGGATGGGATGCTGGGATGCTGGATAGGGGGTAGGGAGACATGTAGGGGGTAGTAAAAAATAGGTAGCAGGGTGGTAGGGTGCTGAATACATGGATTAGGCATGTTTTATGGTAGTTTTGGCTACTAGGGACATTGCTGGGTGTACCGGGACAGTAGTAGGAGCAATAAAAATCGGGGAAAATCAGGAAATAATAGGATAGGTGCTAGGGTAGGCCTGGCAGGTGCTGGTTGGGGGGTTGTCAGGGGGCGAGGGGGTGTTTTGGGGGTGTTTTTGTAACTTTGCGAGTTTTGAGATTTAGAACGAATGAATCGCATTGCCGGGTGTCGTTTCGATGGAATCAGCGTATAAAACGTAAATCGGCGATGTGATTTCGGCGAGATGAAGGAGGCTGATTCTGGCAGTTCTGTCTATTTGACAAACATTTATAAATATACAAGATGATAGAAATCAATTTTTGAAGGAATCGGTCCATTTGTTCCAAAGTTATAGCGTAAACGGTCAGGAAGATATTGCCACATCGAGGCTGGAGGGGGTCGATAGGCCAGAACTAGTGATATAACAGTTCGATTAACTTGGTTTTTGCTGTCATGGGTAGGCCTACATCACTACTTAATTATGATGGTCACACCAGATGCCAAAATCACGACTGTGGCCTTCATAGTGGTGCCGCGTCAAGGGGGGGAGGAGGAGAACATCTACCCAAGGGGTAATGCAGAGTTGGAATGGTTGGTGATGTTGGTATTATGATTGGACAACGTAGTTTGACTCTTGGAAGGACGATTCACGGTGCAACATCAGTCAAAATGCTCCTGCACCAATTGTGGGGCGCTGAATCTAGGATTTATGAAAACAATAAACTGAAATCCCAATTTGGCCGGTGCTCAAGCAGGCCAAAAGGTCGCTGGTGAGCTGCTCATTATAATGAGGAGGCCCACGGTACTGCCGCTACTCATTATAATGTGATTTCACGGTAGTACCGTGGCTCATTATAATGAGAGCTACAGGGACGCCTGTCCATGTTATGTCAGTCTGAATATGAAAAGTATACTGTTCGACTGAAAACCTCGCCCAGCCGTCATTGCGACACGACTGTGAATTTCTCCATACCTTTATAGGGAAGCAGGGGGTACTCACCAGGTCAATACTGTCATTCTCAACAACGGGTGGGCCGAATCGCATCAAACCAAGGGCGGGGAGCAATGCGGGACATTGAACCGCGTCGATTGACCCCGCAAAGTTGGAAACATACACGGAATTGGATGAGAACGAGCACATTTACGACAGAAGGTAGGAGGGGGCACTCACCAGGTCAATGTTGTCGTTCTCGACGACAAATGGGCTGAATTGCGTCAATTAAAGTATGGGAGGCGATGCGGGACATCAACACGGGTCGATCGACCCCGCAACGTTGTAAACGTACGCGGAATTGAGTGAGAACGAGCACATTTACGATAGGAGGAAGCTGAGAGGGTACTCACCAGGTCATTACCGCCGTTCTCGATGACGGTCGGGCCAAATCACATCAAACCAAGTACTGGAGGCAATGCGGGACATCAACACGCGTCGATTGACCCCGCAACGTTGTAAACGTACACGGAATTGAGTGAGAACGAAGCAATCTACGATAGAAGGTAGCAGGGGGTACTCACCAGGTCAATGTCCTCGTTCTCGACGACGGGTGGGCTGAATCACATCAAACCAAGTGCAGGAGGTGATGCGCGACATTGATCCTCTTCGATTGACCCTGTAACGTCGGAAACGTACGCGGTATTGGATGAGAACGAGCAAATTTACGATAAGAATGGGAGGGAGGTACTTACCAGGTTAATGTTGTCATTCTCGACAACAGGTGGGCCAAATCACGTCAAACCAAGTACAGGAGGCGATGCGGGGCATTAATCCGCGTCGATTGACCCTGCAACATTGGAAATGTACGCGGAATTGGGTGAGAACAAGCAAATTTACGATAAGAGTGGGAGGGAGGTACTCACCAGGTCAGTACCATCATTCCCAACAATGAACACACCAAATCTCTTCAACAAAGTACCAATAGATATAGAAACCAGTGCCTAGAATGAGCATCGCCACTATGGACAGAAACACGACGTGTCAACTCTGTCGATGGTGGTGTGTGCTCGGAGAAGAGTGAGGAGAGACTCGGATGTGCCAGCAAAGCATCATTGGATGCACGTCTGGCCTGCGGCAAATTCTGACGCGATATGGCAGGTACTCTCCCACGGGTACCTGTGGGACCTGAAGCGCTACCTGTATCCGTGCAGCCACCCGTGGGAACGAGTATCTATATCCACGGATACAGGTACCCGATGGTGTGCCTTACGAGTATCTGTTGCAGGTACTCACGGGTCCTGGTACTCGTGGCATGCCCTGTTGCAGCCTATGTTGCCGACTACCTGGAACAGTGTCTTGTCACCTGCGCCAAACCTGGTACTTGCCCAAAGTGTCGTTGCCCTTCATCTGATCTCCAGAATCCTCATCCATACGAGCATCGTTTACCAACTTGGACAATTAACATTATGGATACAGCTCGGAAAGAGTCAGCCACACGCTCCAAGTACTGGGAGAAGACTCAGGCCCAAGATTTATCGGGTGGCATATATGATCCATTCTGGCGCGACCTCCCCTACGCCAATATTCATCTCTCCACCACTCCAGATGTTCTCCACCAGCTCTATCAGGGCGTCTTTGCTCACATCCTTACCTGGGCCACTGACATCCTTGGGCCCAAAGAGCTTGATCATCGCATCCGCACCCTTCCTCCTTTCCATGGTACATGCCACTTCAAGAAGGGCATATCTGCTCTTTCTCAGATCTCTGGCAGCGAATGAAAAGATATGGCCAAGATTATCCTAGCCTGTCTGGTTGGTCGCATATCTAACCAAGCTCTTCTGGCCTTTCGTTCAATTCTCGACTTCATCTACCTTGCCCAGTACCCCACTCATAATGCCGAGACCCTGAGCTATATGAAGGATGCTCTTGCCACCTTTCAAAAACACAAGGACGTCTTTATCAAACTCGGCATACGCGAACATCTCAATATACCCAAGTTCCACTCCCTCTTACATTATATTGAATCTATATGTCTCTTTGGCACTACCGACAACTACAATACCGAAATGTTTGAACGCCTCCACATCGACTACGCTAAAAAAGCCTGGCGATCCACTAATCATTGTGATGAACGTCCCCAGATGGTCCGTTGGCTCGAGCGCCGAGAGAAGATGGCCACTTACGAACGTTACATCAAACACCACATTCCTTCCACATTCCTCACCGACATCTCTTCTTCCTCTCATGATCATACTGGCACTAGCGAGATCACCATCAAAGGTACTCCAGATGTACCCAGCGCCTCAATCAAGTCAATCGAAGCCACACATTCAGCTCCAGGTTTCGAACGGGCTTTGAAGGAGTTCATAAATAAGCACAGTTTTCAGCGTACCTCTCAAAAGGACATTGCTATAAAGAGTCTTCCCTTTGATTCAGTGAAGCTTTACTATGCCTTCACTATGTCACGAGTAGAGCTGGGCCATGCAGAGGTTCTTGGCACGTCTTTGGATACCGAGGTTGTGAAAGCAAAGCCACATACAGGTAAATAAGCTTCTCGTTTTGACACTGTGATAGTACTCAATTCTCCAGAGGCTGAAGCTACTGGAGTCGAAGGTTTGTAATCTTCTAATATATGCTATGCGTGTCAGAAAAGTTCAGCTAATTGTATTGGCACAGGTACAAGAGCAGGGCGCCTCAAGGCTATATTCCAGTTACCTTCCACCATATACGGTGTTCCTGCTCACTGGCCTGGTTCCAGTAAGGGCACCTTGGCGTATGTTGAGTGGTATACTAAATTTACTCCCGCTGCTGATAAATATCATAAGATGTATAGTTTGAGTATTTCACCTCACAGAACTGATGGCACAAGACAGGGTACTATTATTCCGCTCTCCCAGATACGCCAGGCTTGCCATCTTACTCCACATTTTGATCGTCACCTTACTATTCCTAGAACATGGACTACTGATACTATACTTGACTCATCTACTCATTTTTGGTTGAACAATTGGTCATCTCTGTACACATATCAAACACTGTGGTAGATTACTGTACTATTTCGACCGTAGGCCATGGTCACACATCACAGCGGGCATATGGCATGGCCTAAACACCTTTTGTCACAGGTCACAGGCCCTCTGAGGCATTATTTATTCGTTTTTTTGTCCGGGCTTCGCCCAAAACGGTAATTTACCTGCCTTTTAAGGCAAGTCGGTCACAAATTTTTGGGGCCGATGGCCTATTTACACCCATGGCCTAAGTGCCACCCTTGTCACAGGTCACACCCCGCTGGCCTACGGTCGAAATAGTACAGTATTGCTATGTAGTGCATGTTTTCATACGCTGTCCAGTCAATGTGTTGTGCTTCCCCGTTGACCCTCAGGCTTCTATGGGAGCTATACCGGCTATCATTTCTGGTCCCTGAAATCCAGCAACCTATGACAGACAGGCACCGGCTATCAACACAGCCAAATTCAAAATAGGAAAGTGTGCTTCTATATAGCAAAAACGTAATTTCCTGATGCACCTGTGAACTTGTGGTCGTAAAAGTACATTATGACGGTCATTCACAGTTTTCCAACATACTGTTGGTTCCCTGTCCCCACACCCCGCTGAACCGAACACTTTTAGGGGGACTGTCCCCCCCTCTGGGTCTTCCAACGAACAGCTAGGGGGGACATGTCCATAATTCAATAAAACTAATAATTATAATAAATATGCATGAAAAATATTCAGATTGTTGTTTCTGTGCCTTTTTGGCTGGAAATTGGCTGAAAATTGTATGCATTAGCATGACAAAATCCCAGAGCACTCTGATATCGGTATAAAATTCTCATCCAGACCCTGCAATAATATTTTTGTGGCCAACACATCGAACAGGGGGACAGATGTGTGGCGCAGAGCCGGCAAACTCCGTGAATTTGAAATCGAACATTAGGTCGAAAAAGTACAGTACCTTGAGACTGTACTGTACTTTTTCGACCAACTGTTCGTCACGCATCACGCGGAGTGCGTCGGCGAACAGATTGGGTCTCGGGGTTACACATACATGGGGGTTCACGAACAGGAAATTATGACCGATTTGCCCTGAAAATCGCCAAAAATTCAATTTTTGGCCCAAATACAAATAATCTCGCCTGTTCGTCACGCGTGGCCCAGCAGTGGTCATGGCTGACATAATTCTCCTACGAACAGTTGGTCGAAAAAGTACAGTATTTCGTGTTCTGAGGTCTCGATGGAGGACATCGGCGGATGGGACGTGGACTGTTGAGCTGGACGAGATTGTTCATGGGTTGTGAGTATATAGGAACAACGCCGCAGTTGCTCAAGGCGGACATGGTACTTTTATAAGTAACTTGGCCGTGGTTATTTAAATCACTTACAGTAACTCCGACGACGGAGCTTGAATATGTGCACTGTGGAAGATGGATAGGGTGAAATTCAGCCCAATTTAAGGTGAATTTCATGTTTCACCCAATTTTCGGTGACCGCCGCTATGCCGGCAGACGGCTTCATTGAAATTCACCCAAACTTTACAGAGAGCAACAAGCCTCTTGAAAATCAAAATAAATTCAGATAGGAATATGGTAGAGCATATCTGCTGTATGGCAGACTCCGTCTACGTCAGAACCGTGCAATGTGCGGTGAATCGAGACGAAGCACTGCGAAGGACAGTGGCCACAAAGTAGAGCAGAGTGGCGTAGCCTGTGGGGCTGATGACATCATAGTCACGTCTTGCTTCCACTCGACTCCCAGATCACTTTGCTCTCTCTCTTAGTCTCTACCACCACCACCACCTCTGGGTTTTCATCAACATCGGACGCGACTTACTTTGCTTTGAGCCAGAATGTGGCTAGATCTCTGGTTGCCGCTCACGCTTCTTGAGTCTCTATAGCTTGCCTTGCCGGCCTCTGTTTGGCTCTCGAGACTTGACATTTGCTTTGCCGCTGACAAGGAACACGATTGGACGGCCGCTTCAGTAACGATTGGGAAAGGGTCTGTTGGAAATTGTCGGAGACGTGGATTTTACGGTCCCCTGAAAGGTGCAGTCGTTCTCTATTCCATTCTTTCTTCTATCGGGAGCACCATGTGGTTCATAGTTTTATATGAGGTATGCACTTGTCACGCCGCCTGCCTCCCTCGGTGAGCGTGATTCTTATGACCTCTCTGTTGGTTGTATACTGATCTGGCTTGATGTACTCGCTGACCTTGACAGCTCCCAACTTTCGTTCACCTCTCATATCATTTTTGCCATTCTCTCTCTCTCCCTGCATCCCCTCAATAGAGTCCTATCTTGCTGTTCAGCTTTCATGGAGGGTGAAGCCACGGATAGGGCACAGGTGAAGCTTCTCAGTACTACTGTACTATTTCGACCGTAGGCCATGGTCACACGTCACAGCGGGCATATGGCATGGCCTAAACACATTCTGTCACAGGTCACAGGCCCTCTGTGGCATTATTTATTCATTTTTTCGTCCGGGCTTTGCCCAAAATGGCAACTTACCTGCCTTTTAAGGCAAGTCGGTCACAAATTTTGGAGGCCGATGGCCTATTTACACCCATGGCCTAAGTGCCACCCTTGTCACAGGTCACACCCCGCTGGCCTACGGTCGAAATAGTACAGTATATAGGAGTGTGTTACCCCTAGTGTATCAGTGTACATACATAATTCATATTTAATCAACTCCTTCAGTTCGTGCTCCTCGCTCTCTCGGGTGTCAAGTCAAACAGCCTGGCAACACTTCAGTAGGATGTAAGCTGAGAAGCGTGAACCGGCAGCCACACCTCCTCGAGTCAGCCCAAGATACGCGGATTTTCACCCGAACTTTGCATGAAATATTCGGGTGAAAACGAAAAAAAAAAAAAAAAAAAAAATCGTGAATTCCACCTAAAATTTTCACCCAAAATTGAGGTGAAGCCAATATCCGTCACCTAAGAATTGGGTGAAAATCCTATACATCTTCGGGTAGGGTGAAATTCACTCAATGCGTACCCCCCAGTGGTGGTCCGTCTGGGCCTGTTGCCTCGTCCTTCCGTTCATCACCTCGACATTCTCATTTCTTCGTCATGTCCTCTGTTTCTCTTCTCGACGATTTCTATAAAAAGGCTTGGGGTTGTGAATGGCCTCAACACAAAGGAAGAATCCTTAAGGCCGACCTCGGTCTCACTGTCGACATCGACGCGGAGGACGACGCGGAGGACGTTTACCAGGTCGCCGTTGACGATCACTTCGATTACACCTGCCTCGAGAACTTGAAAACCCTCATTTTACCCTTCGCCTTGATGGCGATCAAGGATGTTCTCATCATTCGTCCAGAGTATGTTTTGCTTCGGAAGACGCTCGACCAGCATGAGCAGCAACATACACGCGCATTCGTGGTGACGGGACATCCAGGAATTGGTTTGCACAACTGTACCATCAGCTCAAATGCTCCTGTCTAATTTCTGCGCCTCATAGGTAAAACCACGTTTCTGTTATACCTTCTCTTACATCGCCTCGAGAACAAGCTTCCGACGGCGGTCCAATTCGACAACCATCGCTACTTCATCTTCGACGGCCAAGGCGCTACGGCTCACTTCGTCGCTGATCCTGTCGAACCGAGACTTTGCCAGTGCTGGGCCCTAGCCGACAGTAACGCCTACATCACGCAACCATGCGTGAGCTTTACAAGCCAGGCTAAACTTGTCATCCAAGCGTCATCACCGAAACCCTCGAGGTGGAAGGAATGGCTGAAGCAGACGGAAGGCGAGCGGATCTACTCGGAGCTTCCCTCTGCGCTGGAGATTGGGGCGATTTTGTAAGCCGACTCGATGTCCATCCCTATATCCTGCCTGATGACTCAAGATATCATCCCTCCTTGTCCCAGGAAAGAGCTCGGCTTGGCTCCATCTTCGACTTTTGCCCTCATGTCGAAATGGGGACCATCAGTTAGAACGATTATCCGCCTTGCGACTGCCGCCACAGTTGGACACTTTAAACTCGAGGCGCTCGAAGAGGACCTGGAGGCCGAAGCAAATGCGGCAGCACACCACATATGCTCTGCCTCATCGCTGGTCGACCTCTTCGTAGCCGGCGAGAGTGTACCAGGCAGTGAAGGTTCCAGCATCTGCTTTGTTCGACCTCACCGCAAATTTACGAAGAACGGCACCGATATCGTCTCGTCGACGAAAGCCATCCCGTTCATCCCTACAAGGTTCCTCGACGAAATCTTCGCGAGGCATTGCTCAATATTTTCCAGCACCAAATCCATCGAGCTCTTCGAAGTGTTCAGTTCACATTCCTTGACGCGATCCACTGCCGGCTGGGATTTCGAGGTGCTCATGCATCGCTACCTGAGCACGGATCGTGCACCTCTTACAATCTTTGGAGACGGTGGAAAGTTGGAGATGCAGATGCGGCCATCGCCCAAGCTCATTCCTGGCACAGCGGCCGGGCTCAATAGCACCGGTGTCTCTGACTCATTCTACTGGATGCCGTCCGTCATGAATTTCCCGGGAGTTGACGCCGTTCTCGGCGATACCGACAAGAACATCTTCGCCTTACAAACGACCGTCGCAGGCGAGCACGGGAGTCCCGCCGGTGGACTTAGACGAACCTGGGGCGACCTCGATGAAGACGTTCGAAGAGGCCGCACTTGGCACGTCGTCTTCGTTGCAGACCAGAAGGCAGTGGCTGATCGGCTCGTGAGAGAGTATTCGTCGCAGCTGAAGACATTTTCTCTTGGTAAGCACCCTGTGGTACGTGTGCGGGTGTGGGGTTGTGTCCTTCCACTACGTCGTTCATACGGTAGGTAATCGTTGCATGTATCGCTACTTGTTCTATGGTTCCATTCTGTTTGCTTCAATATACGTACTACGTACCTGTTTGTGTAGCCGAAGAACTCATTGTAAACTGCATCTCACTCCCTTCCAACCCGTGCTCGAGTTCGGTCCGGTCGTGGTGATAGCGAAGTTTTTGCTCCGACTTCACCACGAGACTACGATGTTCGTTCACCTTGCATCTCGAACAAAAAGGAGACATCGAAGTGCTCGAAGCTGGTTGGAGACAAGAACACAGAGACTCTTGCGAGCAAGTTTTTCCGACATACAATAGGTCATGTAGAAGCTCGTCCAGCACGATACCATCAACTCACTCGTTCTGGTCTCTTAAACTAGGCATAGCAGTGTCTCTCCACCGACGACCGAGTTGAAGTCGCTGGAATCAGAGGAGAACATGGCTAGTGACGAAATCCTTAAGAGATGCGCTACAATGGCAATACAAGGGAGTGCGTCTTTAGCGTTTCGACTTTTCTTCTATCGCTTCTCGCGATCTGAGTCCAACCTGACATCGTCCTTTTGGGCAGTCACTCGACGATTTATCTTTGGTATCTTCCTTCTGTCGGAGTCCCAATCGAGTTTCTGAGAAAGCTGGAGGAGAAGTTGGAGACTACTTATCTTAGTCAACGTCCTAAAGGAGGGCTCGAAATCGGGAAGCGAGTCTGGACAGTCTCCTGCCCGCCGCAATTTCGGCGAGGAGTCAGGACGCACGCCCGGAACAAGGGGCCAAGGTCGTGGACCAGCCCTACGACGAATTGATGAGGGCGTGAAGTGTGCGTCATGCCCTCTTCTCAAACCCCGTCAACTACATCTGTCCGCCGTCGTCTGATATCGGCCATGTCCTTTCTTCTTCTCGAGACCATAATGTTCGAACTGTAGGGCTGTGAGATTTGAGCGAACCCAGTCCTGTTGACTTGTTTACATAGTTTCGCGTGCAACGCACGCTTGACGCACGCACTTGTGTGTATTGTAGATGTCCATAGCTTGGTTTCCGATATGAAGACCTGGCAAGAGTTCGATGGCCGGAGGACGGAGTCCAAGGATGGGTGGCATTACAGGGATTGTGGGCCATCGAGCGAAAGACGACAGAAAGCAAGAGAACGCGATGATTCCATTCTTTACGATTAACGACGTACATAATAATTTCAGTATCAGTGCGGATGATGGTTGGGCAGGTAAGTGTAGTGTAATGTAAGCAGTTGAATGTGTGATGCCGATGCTATGAAACCGAGAAAGAAAAGGAAAGAGAATGAGAGCAGTACTGGCACTAGTAAATATAAAGGGCACCGAACGAAGAGAGGTGTTAACGGGATTAGAGTGGATAGAGGGACTGGGAATACAATGATAATGGTATCGGACATCGAACCACTGTTAGACAGATGTTTCTTCTTCTTTATGCGACGACCGTCGACTTGGCCGTCGCTCCTCTGTATCGCGTACACGTCTCCCTTGCTCTGCCTCCGTTTCGCCAACCGTATCGGTCGCCGTTCGAGTCCGTCCGGTCCGACTCACGACCCCGACCCCATAAGATTCAAGCCTCCATTCGTCGGCACGCCCGGCGAAGGTATCTGTATCTGCTGCTGCTGTGGGTACTGGTGCGCGCTCATGACTTCGTTGTAGATCAACACTGTTGGACCGCAAGCGGGTCAGCCAGCCAGTCCCGCCACCCGCCCGAAGTCTGAGTAGAAAACGCACCCTTCAGATCTTCTTTCCCCAACGGCTCCGAACCATCAAAGTCAAAGAAGGAGGGATCGAGCGGCGGAGCGGTCGGTTCGTCGTCTGGGTCGTGATATGACTTTGCAAGCACGAGTCAGTACGCTCGATTAGATGAGAGTGAGGGGAGGATGGACGGACCTCGAGGTAAGGATGCCTCAGTGCCTCTGAGACGTCGATCCGTTTCTTCGGGCTGAAGGTGAGGCATTTCTCCATGAGGTCTACCGCCTGTGTCCATATCGAGATCGTCAGCTTAAAACTCAAAGCGCAAGATTTCGGGCCAGAACGCAAGCGCAGACTCACAAGCGGATTCGCGCCGACAAATAGCTGATCGAGCGGTTTTTTCTTCCTAAATGGCAGCGCGCGGAGGTACTCTCTCGATCGTTGTGAGGTGATGGCATAAAAGTCGTCGAGGGAGGGTGTGCCGAGGATGTCGAGGATGATTGAGAGTTGGTGGTGATCTGATGGATGGAGGCAAAAGGTTAGCGAGAGGTGTGGGAGGAAATGGGATGAATGGAAGACGGCGGTAGAATCGGTCTCGTGCACGTTTCAAAGCGTAGCGAAAGAGAAAAGGGAAGACGTACAATCTCGACCGGGGAACAACGGCTTTCCGCTGATCATCTCTGCAAGGACACAGCCGACGCTCCAGATATCGATAGCGCGGGTGTACTCCTTGAACGTAAGCATAACTTCCGGTGCGCGATACCATCTAGGATAGCACGATGAACGCTTGGCCATCGCAGAAGCATGAGCCGGCATACCTTGTTGCGACGTATTCTGTAAGGAAGTTGGACGAGTCGTCTGCGTCTGGGGGTGGCCGTGCTGATCGTGCGAGACCAAAGTCGCAGAGCTATGGAGAAGACGTCGATGAGTGATTGCAAGAAGAGAAGGATGGACGGCCTACCTTGAGATCGCAGTTCGCGTTGAGGAGCAGGTTGGATGGTTTGAGGTCTCGATGGAGGACGTCGGCGGAGTGGAGGGCTTTCAGTGCGCGTAGTGTCTGCATTGGGGATGAATGGGCGAGCAATGTGGCGCAGAAATAAAAGATTACCTGGTAGATAAAGTACTGACAGTGGTCATCGGACAGCGTCTGTGTCCTGATGACCCTATGAAGGTCAGTCTCCATGAGTTCCTGTACGAGATAGACCTCGCGAAAGTCATGGATATTCTGTGGCCTGAGGATGTCGAGGATGGAGATGATGTTCTCGTGGTGAAAGTGGCGGAGGAGCTTGATCTCGCGCAGAGTACGAAGACAAAACATGGAGTGGTCGAAGGGGGTGATGCGCTTGATGGCGACCTTGCGACCGGACGGGACGTGGACTGCTGAGCTGGACGACGTGTGAGTATCGGTGCTAGACGTCGGCACAGACGGCGTACCAGACCACGCCGTACGCGCCCTCCCCGATAACGTCCAGCAGGCTGTAGTTCTGTCCGACCGCAAAGTTCGCCAGGCGCGAGTCGGTCTCCATGTCGTCGGTGTCGTCGTCGTGTGCGATGGCGAGTGTGCTGAACGCCAACGCTGAAACTGTAAACGCTGCTAAACGGATCAGTATGTACCAAGTCACGTGATGTGGCGGCGGCACCCAAGAAGCAATTTTTGGTCAGCGCGCTGCTGGAGCTCGTGGCCAGCGTCCTCCTTCCGGTCTCCTGCCATCCCCCAACGTTACTAAAACCTGGTTAATACTCCTTGCACACGACGACAACCAGGATGCCCGTAGCCGACAAGCACGACGAAGGCGACGAGTCCGTCGACTCCCGCGACAGAGACAGGGAACGAGGCCCTAAATCAAAGTCTTCCTCGTCTAAATGTCCGTGCCTTATTTCCTGTCTGCCTTTCCTCTCCTAACGCAGACGAACAGCGAAAGACCTGTCCCATGTCCCCTGCAAGTTCTTCAAAGTAGGCTCGTGCACAGCCGGCTCGTCCTGCCCCTTTTCCCACTCTGTCCTCGAACCCGGCCAGCACAAGGAGACCTGCGCCTGGTTCATAAAAGGAAACTGCAAATTCGGCCACAAATGTGCTCTCGCCCACATTCTCCCCGGCCAGTCGATGGCGATGGACAGGAAGAACAAGAAGGCGGCCCAGACGGCTGGCAAGAGCGGCGGTGGTGGTGGACGAGAGGGCGGAGAGAGGGCTGAGAGGGAGAAGAACGGGCCTGGTGGAGGCGGCAGGGTCCACAAGTCGTCGTCTGGACACGGCAGGGGCGAGAGGGACGGCGGGAACGGTGCTGACGGCGCCGGCCGTCCTTCTGGCGGTGGTCTCTTGTCGGGCTCGTCGGCGCCAACGAGGATCCTGACCGGGACGTCGTCGCGCGCACCGATTCCGATGTCCCTCAAGGCAACCATCTCGCCCTCTGCGCCCGCCCCGCCGCTCAAAGACACCGACTTTGCCTCCTTCGGCCTTCCCGACGAATCCAACAAACTGCCCTCGGCACCCGCCGCTCAATCCCGCACCTCCCAGTCTCCCGTCGCCGACAAACGTTCTGCCGAACCCAAAGATGTATCCGTTCCAGACGTCCAAGTCGATGCCGCCACGGGCGACATGGATGATGAAGAACAAGTCCGCACCAAATCCTCGCCCGCTCCTCTGCCTTTCAACACTCCCCGTCCTCCACGAACCTCCTCCCACCACAGTCAACAGCACGACCCCTCCTCCTCCGACAATCTCGGTCCTATCGGCTCCCCTCCGCGCTCACTCATTGGCTCTCCACCCCTCTCTCAAACGTCCAGATCTGGGTTGAACGGAAGAGCAGGCGACGGCTTCTCACCTGGGACTTCACCGCAGTCGCAGCCTTACTTGCAACCCACCGTTCACTCCTCCGTCCCCGCGAACGCCTTTTTGTCGAGCAGTCCGTTCAATAATGGCATACAAGGGATGTATTTCGCAAAGTATCAGGAAGAAGGACAGGGACAAGGACAAGCGCAGGGGGGCGTTGGGACGGGTGCAGGCGGATTCGGTGCGGAGGAAGACGACTTTAGGACGAGGTCCGGTTTGGCTGCATCCCTCGGTGCGACTCGTACCTGGCGCAGCGATCTCAGCATGACAGCCGCGAACCCTCCCCCCTCCGCTCCTCCTACCTCGACTCGCCATCCCCATCTAGGAAACCATCTGTCTATGGGTCTAGGCGGCGACACCGCCGTCGTCGACGAAGACCTGGAAGAGTTCATCCCTTCCTCTCTTACCGATCTCCTCACCCCCGAAGAACGCAGCCGCAGATACTCCCGAACGAGCGGACATCCAGGTGCTCCTCCCTCCTCTGCCGCCCCTGGTGCTGGCTGGAACATGAACGCAGGAGCTCAAAGACCGAGTCTCGAGACGCACCATCACCGGTATTCGAGATCGGTTCCTGCCCCTTCGTTGTTGGGCGATATCAAGTCGATATGGTCGGATCCTCAGCCTCAGCCTTCGCCTTCGAATCAGCAACACGCTCAGAATATGTCCTCTTCGCCTGCTAACCCTTCACTCCTCCAAGGGGTGCCGGGCTCGTATAAGAGCGGTGGGTACATGGGTGGGCCGGGAAGTATGGGGATGGACGCAGGGAACGGTATACACTCAGGGTCGGGTCTGCCGATGTCCATGTCGCCCTCTTCCTCTTTCCTGTCGCCGTCGAACGCCAGCGCGGCCTTCCTACCTTCGATACACCAGCATCACCAACAATTCATGAATAAACGATCGATTTCGAACGGCCTTCGCCCTCTCACCTCCACGAACAGCAGCAATAATAACAACGGGTCGACGACGCCAGTCAACGGTACATCCTCACCTAGCGCCAACGCCGCTCAACTCCTCGCGAGGTTGACGGGCGACACCGGGATCGGTCTGGGAGGTGGGATGTCGCCTCCACCGACGAGTGCTTCGTTCCACCAAGCCTTCCGTCCTCCCGGTCTCGCCCAGTCTATCTCCGGCACCGGCGGTTCCGCCGTGACTCTGAACGACGATTTCTCAGGGCGTTCGCAGGCGCAAGCGCAGTCCCAATATCCCCATCACCTTTCCAACAACAACTCACACCAACAGTACGCCCAGGTTTCTAACAACAACGCCCAGCACCAGCAACACCAGCATCATCATCATCATCATCAACAACAACAACAACAGCAGCAGCAGCACAATCAGCAGCACGTCGCCCCCGCGATGGCCCTCTCGCCCTCCACCCGCGCCCTCCAAGCCCACGCACCAGGCCAGTCTCTTCCACAAGGCCTCGCAGCAGGCTATTCCCGCATCCACGCCCTACCTCCCCCTCCCGCCGTCGGCAACTTACCTTCTCCATCCATGTTCGGGTCCGTCACGTCTGGTGGGATGGGCGGGATCGGGTCGTTAGGGCAGGGCCAGGGACAGGGCGGATTAGGGTTGATGGGAATAGGCCCGGGAGGTGGATTTGGCGGTCAAGGGCAACAACAGCAACAGCAACAGCACCAACAGCCCTCGCTAAGCGATTGGATAGGAATGTCACCCGGCGCTGCAGCAGCCAACGGGCATTCCATCCTTGGTGCTACCGCACGAGGCTCGCCCCTCTCTGGTTCCGTCGCGCTTCCTGGAATGGGCGGTAGACAGGTGAGCGGCGGGAACGGGCCTGCGGGGAGGAGTTGGGCTGGGGTTGTTAGCGGGAGAGAGAGGGAGGGCGGAGCGGCGGGGACGTTGAGCCCGTTGAGTGGACCGGTGGTCAGTGCGGGACATGTCGGTGGTGGGGACGATGATGACTTGTTCGTGTTGGATGGGTGATAGAGAGAAGAAGAAAGAAGAAGAAGAAAATATGGACGATGGCGTCCGTGTGCTTGTAGGCTGGTGAGCTGCGCTTTGGGTTTGGGGTCATCGTTGGGTCGATCGGTCGTGACGCATGGTATCGTGTCGTACTTAATTTGCTGTATTTGTCTTCCCTTGACTTTTGACTCTCGGCTCTCTGTCATATCTCGTTTTCTTTTAATATTCCTCTTTACATCTCTCATCTTTCATATACATTCCCGGTCATATTCATATTTGTGGTTTGCGTCTCGTGTAAGCTCTCGTGTGGTCGTCCCGATCGTTGAATGATACGTACTATTCTTCAGCATGTTCAAATGAACGGACCCTTTGTGTGCATAGACTTACATGTTCTGCTCTCGCTCGTCCGGTTTTATGTCCTCTTGTTTTGCTATCGGCTATGTGTTTGTGCTCCTCATCCAATATTCATGTCCCTTCACGTTGCTTCCAAAATTCACATTCCGATTCCGATTCTTGATTTTCTCGCACAGACTTCATCTTGCGTTGTATCACCATATTTACGAATGCACACTCGCATGATCATCAAATCCCGTCGTTCAACGCTTCCCATGTATGGCCCACTAAGTCGGACCGAACGAGAAGGATGAACTTGCTCAGTGCAACCTCCACGCGGCAGATGCCTTGCGAGATGTAAATCACGCTTCTGTCGGAAGTACTCATTAGCCATGAAGTCTAGCATCTATGTACATATATATCACTTCGACTCTTCTAGGAATCTAGACTTGCGCCCCATTACGCTTCGTTCCTGTTACTCCTTCGTCCCTGTTACTCTACGACGACGACAACGACGACGACGCTGCCTGGCTAACCTCTACTCTAAGACTGTCGACACGATATCTGCGTTGGAATACACGCCTTAGCTAAATACCCAAGACTAACTAAACGCGTCTCTACTCTCAAACATGGCGGACCTCGACCCGACCTCAGTCCCTCCCGAATACACCAAAGAAGGCGCAGACTGGCTCGCGGTGTTCAACCCGCACGTGCCGCGCGTCATGGACGTGAAGTTAGAGGCCAAGTTCACACACGACAGGTGCGTCTGCGAAGTTGGTTCTGGCTTTTTGGTGGAAAAGGACGTACCTCTGATGGGTTGGTTGTTCGGACGTTTGAATGAAGGGTAGTATGCAGCGTTAGGTTCTCCAATGACGGGAAATACGTCGCGATTGGGCTGGATGGGGAGGTTCGATTGTATGAAGTTGGATCGGGGAGTGCTCATGTGTACGCAACTCCTCCTCTGCCGGAACACGCCCCAGTTTAGCTTCGACTGACTTCCTCGCGTACGGTTCTGTAATACAGACTTGCGTTGAACTATGAGGGTGAGCCACCCACGCGGAACTATGTTCGAGCTGTGGCGTTCAGTCCGGACGATAGTATGGTTGCTGCCGGCACGGAGGATGCGCTCGTCCGAGTATGTCCAGTCCATATATTTCTTCTTGTCACCGTTGACTTACGCGTACGCTTCTCGCCAGATATGGAGCGTGAGCACCAAAGAGCTCATTCACACATTGCAAGGCCATTCCCGCGAAATATACGCTCTCGAATTCATCCCGGGCCCTTCGTCTTCACATTATTCACTCGCTTCCAGCTCAGGAGACCGCTCTATTCTCGTTTGGTCCCTCACCCAGTCATCCTCCCCTTCCCCCACAAGCACTCCTCTCATCGTCGAGGAGGACCTCCAATCGCCCAACACAGTCATCACAGCTCTCGCCGTCTCCCCCGATGGAAAGTACATCGCCTCGGGAAACCTCGAAGGCCAGATCCGACTCTGGAGCTCGCATGGACCTAGCACGGCGGACGGTGTCAAGGACAACAACGGACGGGAGTGGAAGGCGGTGGTCAGGTGGCAAGCACACGAGGAAGGCGTTTATAGCGTCAGATGGGCCAGTGGAAATGTGAGAGACGTAGGGATAGTGACGGGGAGTTTGGACAAGACGTTGAAGAGGTGGACGCTGACACTGCCGGACGAGGGTTCGAGTCCAAAGGCGGAGTGCGTGAAGACGATGGCCGGTCACAAAGTGAGTGCTCTAGGTTAGGGTGGTTAGCAGAGCGCTGTTGAACGCTGATGTCGTTACGGTCGAGTAGGATTTCGTTCTCGCCAGTGCCACCGTTCAAGAGGGCCACAATTTGAGAGCCGCCAGCGCTTCGAGAGATGGGAGAGTCAGGTTATGGGATCTGAAGAACGGAGAGATGCAGTTTGTGGTACAAGGGCATCGTAACGCTGGTGTGTATCTCTAGCTGTTCCTTTCATCTCGGGGTCACGATCCGTACTGACAAACAACGCGAAGTGACCTCGGTGGACCTCAGTCGCGATGGGAGGATGCTACTGTCGGGAAGCGGCGATGGCGAGGCACGGTTGTGTGCGTATATTCTCTTTCACTATCTACTCTCGAAAAAAAAGGCAAGGGAATGACGCTGACTATCATGATCTCGCCGTGTATCCTACAGGGAGTTATACCATCCTTTAACAGGTCCTTCCTGTCATGTTCTCCCCACTCTATTGTAAGCTATACTACTAGCCTGATGCTACCCGTGAATGAATCTCCATGAGTAAGAAGTGACACCATCAAGATTGTCGACGTGTCCTTATACTTACAGGCAATGAATTTTTTCCCGGAATGATGGTGTCCGGCGAAAGTCACCCTTGGCAAACGGCTATATTGTCGATCTCGCGACTACGTTTCCCGGCTGAGATCTTGACTTATTCGTGTTCATGCTAACAGGGATCATTATTTGGTCGCAATCAGATGTCAGTGAGAGAGTAGGTGGCATACGGATATGGATGGAGTACAGAGTGTAAACAGCACAACATGATGTTTGAATACGCAATGAGAGGAGATGAAGGTATTATTCGATGCGTCTACTTTTTCTCCTGCTTTTCCATGTGTTCGATGTACCTGTCGAACAGGAGCCCAAGTTGCGCGTGGCCCAACGCCTTCCGACTAGGTGGAGCATGCGAGAGTTCCGGAGCAATGAGCGATATGTCCATCTGTGTCGAGCTCCTACCTTTCGCCACCATCATATTCTCCAACTCGAGGATCAGACCAGCAAGGGCCCGAGAGAGAAAGTTGTGAAGAAATGGCCCATACAACCTTTTGGTGACAAACTTCAGAGGCCCCCCAGACAGTCTGGAGTCCCACACCTTTCTGACCGTCAATGCTCCACAGGACTCGCGAGATATCCATGGACATGAGTTGCATGATTCCCTATAAATACAACATAAGTATGTGCGCTGCGAGCAGGACACGGACTCGTCCGTCACCTAGCCCTAGCCATCTGACCTTGTCACACCTCGCAATACCTCGCCACACTGGCCATCCCTACTCCACTATCATTCAAGGCTGGGGGGCACTATCATCCTTGCGGTACTGTACCGTGGTCAGGAATTAAGAAGAAAGGAAAGAAAGAAAAAGGACATACATTAGCGAAACGTCTTGGATGCTGTGCCTCAATGTCTCGGACGAGGTCACTGTGGGCGCCAGAACTGTGGGCAGACGTCTGACCAGATTTATGTTGTACTTTGGATCTCTTCATAGCGCGGACCAAAACTTCTAACAGATCATTCCGAAGGCGACGGAGAAATTCGGTGGGGATTCCAGCCAGTGGCGGCGGACACCACGGATAAATTATTGAGTGACTGCCGGAGAGGAAGAGCTCGGGAGAGGCATCGGAGGTGTCCTTGGGTGGCGGCGGCGTGCGTGAAGGATCGGTGGGATGCCAGTACTGATAAAGTCGCCAACAACACCAACAACATTTCTTACTAACAGCGATAGGCGTCCATTGGGTCTAAAAGAACGGCGGACATATACATCTTCAATGACCCAGCGGAAAGTCCTGTAGAAGAAACACACGCACTTTGAATACCCTCTTCAGTATGTCCCAGTCGGCATGGTTCAGGCCTAGTGCACGCTGCGACGGTAGCTCGACTTCGGACGGCGAGAACGAGTGGGCCAAGCCCATCAAAATCGCTTCCGCGTGATACGTCACTCCCTGCACTCGTTCCGCCAGCTTTCGTCGGTCGAGGTAGCCAGGGAAATTTTTAGTCTCCACAAGAGGGTGTTGGGACAGTTCGTCCAAGAAGGTTTTGATACAATCCTCGACATTGTCGATAACGGGATCAGGGAGGGCGACGAGGTTCGCGCTTATCGGGATGCGCGGGGGTCTGCGAAAAATAGAAGTGGCGGCTTCGTACCAAGCAACGATTGTCTTGAGGTATCGAAAGATCGGATCTTCAGACGTACTCGGCCTTTCAAAGTCTTGAGATAGAACTATAAGGACAAAAGGCAGTAAGACAGACGATATACAATCAGACTCAAGTAGCGAGAACGTTACCATCTTCCTCTTCCACTGCGAGCAGAGACGTCTCTTCTGTATTTACGGTGGTGTCCTCGGTCCGATCTTGACTCCCTGAGCATGACGATGAGTTTTAGGATTCCCGATGGAGGTAAGAAAAAGAGTTTTAAAACCAAAAAAAAATGAAGGACACTTACGATAGTTTGCGTTGGTCTTCTTCTTGCCCATCGCCTTAAAAAGAGGTTTGTCCTCTAGGAGAAATTCGACCAGCCCTGTTTCCAATAGGCCGTGAAATTGAGTGAGCATCATAGTCGCTGTGATGATCTCATCCCCTCCCAGCTTCTCCTTGCACACCCCGTTCTCGATTAGGGCATTTTTCAGTCCAATATAGGTCTCCGTCAGGGCGTCAACCCAGGGCCTAATGTTATGCCGAGTGATCCTGAAGGCAGTACCCCCACTCTCGAAAGTGGGATGCTCAGCGGTAATACCACGATCCATCGTCAACCAGTTGAAAATTTCGCGACGTTTGACCAGAAGTGTTTTGTCGGGGGGAATGTGGATCTGGGAGAGGTCGTAAGTGGCGAGGGTTTCGATTGGATGCGTCTCCCATGTGTTTCCGCCGTTGAGAATGCGAGCCGCGATCTTGGGATAGGCATTGGCAACCATATATAGTTGAAATTGGTCGATCGTGCGTGAAAGACGGTCTTTGTCGGTACTCGGAGTACGGAAACTGTCGATAATGGTGAAGATGTTTCGATAGTGCACCTCAGGACTAAACAGGTGACATTGAACGAACAAAAAAGCAAAAAGAGTAGCAGAGTCACGCACTCCTGAGAGACGACATTGACATCCCAAGTCGCCAAAATCTTATCCACTTCCTCTTCCTTGTTCGCTGTCAGCTCCGTGCTTAACAGCGGCCGTACTTGGGCCGCCCTTGGAGACATTCCGTTCCGCGTGTTTTGAGCGACGAGGATGCATTGGACAGCGGTAGAGTCGACGTTGGCAGTAACAGCGACAACACGAAGAGCCTTGGGGTCGCTTGCGGGGCCTGTGACATAGGACGGTGTACCTGTGGTAAGAAGAGTCGCGACGTGGTACAACGTGAGTATCACGGAATCGCGGAGCTTGACAGATTGCACAGGGTCATCTTCTCGATGCCCTCTTAGAGCGGTCGTGAGGAGGCATATCTGAGCAGTAAGATATTTGACGTCGCTGTCTTTGTCTGCCATTTGTCGTGTACGGTATGAAGGTCGTTTGCAAATGAAACTGGGTAACGCGGCCGACCCATTTCTTGGACGCACCCAACCGCGCGGCTCCCGTCCGCCACACGCCTTTGCCACGCGAGCGCGGACTCTTTTATTATTATTTTTTTATTTTAAAATCAAATGTATTTTTATAGCGCCAGCGAGAGCCAGGGGCGCTGTGTATGTAAATACATACAACCAGACCACAAAAGTAACCGCATGAGGCGCCCGAAACCGAACCCTACATAAGCGAGACCACTGTATGCATACTGTACTAAGTACTTCTTTGTCAAATCACTTGAATCTACTCGTGATTCTCCGTCTGATTGGGCCAATCTTCCACAAATGTCGTTACTACAGCTTGACCGTGACAGGACCGCTAAGTGGCTTCTGGATAAATATACAATTTATTCCCCGAGAATAATAGAGGAAGGTCCGATAACGCAAACTTTGAATGTCATCTATTCGTGGTCCAAAGGCTATGCTACATAATTTCTCAATTCCTCTGCCCAAGACTTCGCCACAGTATTAGCTTGCCCCTCAGACATAACCCACTCGTCGGCTTCGATGCTCATCACCACCGTATCCTCTCGGGGGTTGTGGATGAATTCAACTACGACCTCGTCCTATGTCCATAAATTGTCAGATTTTTATTCTAAGGTTATGGGGTATCATGGAAGATAAGAACCCACTGCTACTTCAGGTACAACTAGAGACTCGTCCCATGGAGACGGAAGTCGATGCTTCTCGGGAGGTGTGACGACATTATAAGGGAGCTGTTTAAGTCGTCAACAACGAATTCTTGTCAGGGGCATAGAGCGGGGAATTGAGACAATTACGAACCGTCAGACTCTTCAGCAGCCTCCCGGAATAATACTTCTCAGCCTTCTGCTCAGCATCTGTATGCCCATTAGTTATGTGAACATCGTTCTTCTCCGTCTCAACCCTCCGCCCCTGCACCTGAAGAATATTCAACCACACGTTACACACAGGCCTCCCCTCGTTCCCCACCCACCCACAAACATCACTCAGCCGCGATCTCTCTACGACCTGGCTGTTGACCTCCATCCTCTTCTTCTCTTCCTTCATCAGCTGCATTCCTATCTCTCGAATTGTGACGGAGCCACCAACGTTTTTGATATGATGCGGAAGGACGTTCAGACAAGGCAGAGCCAGGCTGTCTGCGCTGATACCCGAATCGAACTCCTGATCTCGGGAAGCGAGCATTAGACCGAAGGTTACGGAGGTGTCCTTCGTGTAATAAGCTTGAACACGAGCCCAGGTAGCCATGAACACAGTCGAAAGCGAGAGACCATCAGATTGGGCCCTTGCACGGATGGAAGAGAGCGGAGGGTAGATATCGCGGACGATGAGGTTGATGCGGCGATTTGGAAGATAGGACACTGTAGACTCTTGATCTGAAGGGAGTCTCATGCCGATCGCAGACCACAGTGACGACCACAGTTCGCACGTCCTTCGTGCTCGATTCGGACTCGATGGTGTTGGAGAGTTGAGGCGGATGAGCGCCGGTTTAAAGAAAGTCCCGAACAATTCTTGCCAGTACCGACGTTGTCCGTCCTTCGAGGAGAGGGCAGGTGTGAAATAACCGACTACACTGCGAAGATCGGCGGAAGAGGTTGGGGAATCACCGCGATACAGCGTCTCCAAGTCTTGAACAAGAAGGCGCATAGACCACGCATCTGGTTCAGTGATCTCCTGAGCGTTCGGACATTAGGACTACAGCGAAAAGAGAAACGTACCATACTGCATGTGATGGAGACCGAGAACGATGTAGCTATCTTCTTTCCCATGCAACAACGCCATCCTCGAAAACGGAACACTTGGCTCCGGAGCGCTTTTCACGAATTTCCTCGCTTGTTCATGTACCTCAATTGTCTCGTCTTCCGCAACAATTTTTCCCTCCACCCATTCTGGCTTCCAACCGTTCAACACGCATAGTGCGATCCTTTGCTTCGCATCTCCCGTCTTAACAAATGAAGACCTCAATAAGGGGTTCCGCTCGACCAGGCCCTCCCAGGCACGTCTCATTCTCAAGCCATCAAGTTTTCCGCAGGAAGACCTGAAAGCGAATGCGTACTGCCAACGGAGCCCGCTGCCACGCTGCCAATTGCCGATATACCATTCCATGCCGGGCGTAACAGGGAGAACATCTTGCAACTGACTCTGAAGTTTGACGGGAAGACGATTACGAGCACTCTCGACGAGCTCTGGAGGTAGGCTAACATTGTATGCTGGCGACGGCGTCGCGGTGGCGGTGCCGTTGGTGGAAACTGTCTCGAGCTTCTTGGCCAAAGTGAGCATGAGATCGGCAATGGTTGTACTACGGGCGACGTCCGAAGCACTGAGAGGAAGGGCTGCTTTCCTGGCCAACGCTGCGACCTGGATGGAGGAGATAGAGTCGATACCCATGGAAGCGAGATTAGTGGCTGATGTCACAGAGGCCGAGGGAAGCATAACGAAGTCGACGAGGATGGAGTGGAATTTTTGCTGCTCTGACGACCATAATGCCTGTGCAGAATCTTCGCGAGCGTCGTTCCTTGTTGTAGGTAAGACATCTGAATCGGAAACCTCGGAAGGAGTGGGGGGTCCGGCAAAGACGAAGCCTTCGGGGAGGACCATAGCGTTCGGAGCTCTGACCATGGACTCGAATGCATCATGGAATTGTGACAGGAGGGATTGAAGGCCGAACATGTCGAGAACATCTGCAGCACAGGAAGCGAAGACATGATAGTTCTCGGAACCCTCATGAAGTTCGATATTGATAGCGTACTGTAGACCAATGTAAATCAGAATAGAGGCGCGAACTTCACGAACATCACACGTACCTGAGTCTTCGACTGCTCGACATCAGCTCTTCCCAGGACAGTCCACAAGTCATTCTGATCTTCGATCGTGTGCCCCGGTTGGTAGAGGAACAACGTATCGCAAAGAGTTTGTAGACCGAGAGCACGTTGAATGGAACGCAACGAGGCATGCTGCCATGAGAGGGAGTCGACGTTCCAACGGTGGGCGGCTTGGAGTAGACTCTTGTTCGTTTGCCCACGAGCGATAGTCAGCCGATATGGGATGGTGTTCTACAGATAATCTATGTATTAAGTCTCGCAAGAAAGCCAGAGAAGGGAAGAAGACAAAACCCACGAAGGCAGGCCCAATGATATCTTTCGCCCCTGCAACGACCCTCCCCGAAACAACCTGCCCAAACATCACATCCTCACAACCAGTAGCCATCGCCACCACTTTCGCCCAAGCCGCTTGACCCAGGCACTGTGGATGTAGCCGATACCTCCTACAGATCCTCTGCACGTCGTCTTTGGGGATATCGAGCCTGAGAGAGCTGCGCCATGCCGACACGTCGTTTGTTTCCTGATGAGTGCGAGGGTACAGAGAGGGCCTGGCACCCTGAAGTACCTTAGACCAGTATGATGTCCCGGAGTGCTCTTGCATGACGATGGTATCGGCGAGGCGAATGAAACTCATGGGAGAAATAACGGGCTCGTCAGAGCGATAGAAGCGTCGGACGTGGTGGAAGAGCATGGGTAGCGAGATACCGTCGTAGAGAGCATGATGCATGACCAACACGACGTATTCCGCATCTGGAGTTGAGACATGACGGAAGTAGACTGGTGGACGAGCGAGATCGTCTTCGTTGGCGAATGAAAGAGAGTTGATGAACTCCGTTGAGGCGCCTTCGACGGATTCGCGTTCTTCATGTACCCACTTGAAGTCTTCTACGGAGTGCTCGACCTGAACCCAGGCGCCTTCAGATGGGGCAAAGTGGAAGGAGGTGCGAAGGATTGAGAAGGCCTGGACGGCACGAAGCCAAGACTGCTTCATCTTCCCCACATCGCAAGAAGGCTGAAGTTTGAATGGAAACGCGTGGACGTAGAGTTTCCCACCGGAGTTGATTGTCTGTGGAAAAGGAGGTTAACAAAAATCTCTTTCGTTGCGCAATGAGCCGCAACGTACCTGCGACAGCATTCCAGACTGCAACGCCGTACACGGCGCGATCTCAACCATATCTCCCTTGTCCAACTTCAACGCCTCAGAATCCAACTCCTTCGACAACCTCTTCTTCAACTCCTCCAACCACTTCTCCGCCTCTCCTTCCTTTTCCAATCCAACAGAAGGATTAGCATCTTCTATTTTTCCGGCCAGATTCATGACCGAATCTGCCTGCATGATATCAACGGGCGAGACTGCGAAGCCCGAATCGTTCAGATTCTTAGCAAGAGAGACGGCTTGCAGAGAAGAGAGACCCAGAGCGACGAAGGAGGTATGTGGGGTGATAGTCGTCGCTTCTATGCGGAGAAATGAAGCGATGCTGGTTGAGAGGGATGCCATGAGCTTTTCATCGAGGATGCGAGAGGGTTGTGTGGCGGTGACGCCCGGGTGGTCGTGGGTGGCGGATGATGTATGGTCGGCGGTGATGGTGCTGAACGTTTGGTTGGAACCAGTCGCAAACGATTCTACACAAGATTCGATACCGCACAGGAAGTTCTCGACGTCTTCGGATTTCAGGACTGACGATGTGTACGATGCACGAGCTTCGACCGTGTCCGCGACGACGTCGATCACGATCTCTACAGACAACATAAACTATAGAATCCACGGGAAGCATCGTCAGTCAGTCTTCAAACTAATATATAAAACACATCTGATAGGCAAGACAGCCAGGCTCACCTCCGCGGCCGCATGGCTAACATACACACTCTCAAATCCCTCATACTTTCCAGCTCCTTTTCCCCTCCCGTTCGCGTTCGAGTCCTCGTACCGACAAGAGAACAAAACTTCTACGAGATCCTTACGTCCGATCCATCTCTGTATCTGCCCCAGGTTGGAATGTTGATACCTCGCCGTCGAATTCAGATCGTTCTGTACGGCCTGGAGTATTTGATGTGGGCGTTGGTCATCACCGAGAAGCGGGACGTGTACGGGGACGACAGAGACGAGCGGGCAGAGTGCACGATCGATAGTCTCGAGGGGGATGTCGCGGCCGGAACGAATAATCTAACATCACGAACGAACGACCAAAGTCAGTGCACATGTTCGTTTATTTAAGGCCATCATCACGACCTACACCAAATACAGCATCATCTCTCCACCTTCCCACCCCTTCGCCCTTTGCAGAACTCGCGCCTGCCACAGCAAAAGCGGCAGCAAACACGGCTTGCGGGGTCACCCTCATCTTCATACACACGTCTTTGACGCTTCCGTAGCCCATCTCTAGTACTCTTCGAGTTCGCGCACTTTGAACTTCATCTGAGGGAGGTAAACGGCGGATGGGAGAAGAGAGGGGAGGGATGGATTTGAAGTGATCGATCCAGAACGAACGTGCAGAGGCATCGTTCGAGGGAATGCGAGAAAGGACGGAGGAGAGGGGGACCGGTGGTTCCAGGTTGGTCGTGTCGACATTCTCGGAGGCGGATAAGGAAGAAAAGAGGCCATCAACGTCACGCATGAGTGGCGGAATGGCCATACCGTCGTACAGTGCATGACTGATCGACAGGACAAAGTAGATTTCCTCGTCAGAGTAGACGTTAATCCGGAAAAGAGGCGTCGTGATGTCCTGGTTAATGTCGCTTGCGATGCGATTGGCGGATGTCCGAGCGAACCAGTCTCCGAACGACGTATCAATAGGTCCGTCGGAGTTTGAGGTCAATGGGAGGCATGTCGAGTTGGGTTTGAGAACGACTTGAACAAGGCCCTCGTCGTCGATAACGAATACCGTCCTAGCGATTTGCGAGAATTAGTACACGATTCACCAGAAAATTAAAGGGGCCAGACCCACCTCAGAATCTCATGCCTCTCAAAAACGCCCTCCCAAGCACTCTTCAACCTCCTCGCCACCACTTCACCTTCTTCACCCTCGCCTTTGTGCACCCTATAAGCGAAATGCTGAACGTACCCTTCCCCACCCGCCCCAATACCAGACGTCACGCTTGCGAGTACACCCTCTTGCACCGGGAACGGCGGTAACACCCGTTCGATCGTATCGGGGTCGAATACCGCCACAGCTCGAGCCAACAAAGCGTCTTCATCCCACTTCAACGCTTTCGTCTCCATCTCTGAAACCTCAGTCTCGCTCTTCCCTTCAGACTCCAACTGCAAGCTTGAGGGAGAAGACGAGAGGAGCTCCGCGATCCCGGAGACCGTTCCCCGTGCCATGACCTCCGCAACCACAACGCCCCTCCCCAGCTCTCTCGCCAACCTCGCGAATCCCAACGAGTCCAACCCGCATTCAAACGCATTACTCTCCGGCCCCAACTTCACCTCCGCACCCGCGCCGGTGATCTCGCCAATCAACCTCACCACCCTCTCTTCATTCTCCGTCATCGTCCGTTCCTCTTTCTCCTTCGTAGCGGGCGTGGAGGAAGGAAAACCGACGTTCTGAGCAGCTAAGAGCACGCCCAACTCCGTATCACGAAACAGTTGCCCCAGCACCTTCTCGTCCGTCTTTCCATTCATACTCAACGGCAAAACATCCACGGGGACGACATACGCTGGACGCATATAACTCGCCAGTTCCCTATTCGCCGCCTCTTTCACGCGGGGTATGACTTTCTGCACCCACCCTTCGTCATCTTCCGCAGCGTTGTCTCGAGGTGAAAGTGGGACGACGACCCGCGGCTTGACGTTCACCCGCACCGCCGTGCCCGCTTTCTTCGACGGAGCAATGAAACTGACAAGGACCTCGCCCGAGCCGAGCGAAGGGTGCGTGCTCACGAGCGTCGCAGCGTCGAGCTTGACTGCACTCACAGATGTGGAGGAGGCGGAGACGGCATTGCGCAGGACGGCAGAGACGCCTTCTGCCTCGATGCGTACGCCGCGGAGCTTGATCTGTGTGTCGATCCGACCGAGGATCTCGAGTGTCCCGTCTGGGAGCATCCTCACTACACCACCATCGCATATTTTAAAGTCAGGATCAGCGCTGCAAAAAAAAGGGGAGGTGGGGAGAAACGTACCCAAATCGCCCGTCCGATACCCCCTCACGCCCTCCCTCGGCCACTCCACGAACGCCTTCCTATTCGCCTCCTGCATGCCCTCCCCATGATACCCCCTCGCGACTAACGGGCCCGTAACAATCAGCTCTCCCGGCGTGCCCCTCGGTACGATCTGCAGCGGGATGTCGGGGTCGGGCTGATGGTGCAGCGCGGAGAGTATTGAACGCGTGCTGGTGGTGGTGGTGGGTGCGGGGACGGAGGAGGCGATGTAGACTTCGCAGGAGGGAAAGGGTCGGCCTATGTTTTCTTTTTTATCGGTTGGGCGGATGATGCGTGAGGTGCAGCCGACGGTTGCTTCAGTAGGTCTGTTACAATACAGAAGCGTAAGGGAGGCAACGATGTAAATAGAAAAACAAGTTTAACGTCAGTGAATAAATATGAGGGTAAGGCGTAGTACACGCGGGGAAAAAAGTGTGTGAGCACGCACCCATAGAAATTAGCTAGTATCACGTCCTCCCTGCCCGCCCACATCTTCAACACCTCATCGCTAATCTTCTCCCCTCCACTAACGAGATACTTCAACGCGCATCTCTTCTTCCCCTCATCGCCATCATCGATCATAACCTCCCCCGGCCCCCCCGGAACACAAGCCCTCAACATACTCGGCACGATCCCCATATGACTCACCCTCTTCTCGCGTATCACCCTCGGGAGGTCCGCGAGGAGGGAGAGACGCGGGGCGGAGAGGAGTGCGGTGCCGAGTGCCCAGGACTGTGCGATCTCGGAGATATGGACGTCGAATGCTATGGCTGTAGATGGGGGGTTTTTTTTTGAGTAAATAGGGAAGGAGCAAGTGCATAGTATAAGGGAGGGAGGGAGTGGGGACTTACACGCTAACGCTAACCTCTTATCCACCCCAGGCGTCGTCACAGGCCTCGGATACTCGCACATCGCCTCGATGGCCCAATAAAGCCCACGATGGGTGAGCAGACATCCTTTCGGCGTTCCCGTCGTGCCTATCCACATCGCACACATAAAATTGTCAGTACAAAGTATTCATGTTTCAAAAATGGAAAGCACGGTACCGCTCGTATACAACAAATAAGCCAACCCGTCCAACTCCGCCTTATTCACATCTCCCTCTCCCTCCTTGCTTTCTACCTCTTCGTCTTCCGGAACGACGACCTCCGGCAGTGTCCTTTCCTCGCTCTCACTCGCGAATTCAGCAGCGAAGATCTTGGCCTCGTTCGGGGTGGTGAAGACGATAGAAGCGCCGCTGTTGATTGCGATGTAGGCTTTACGGGCGGGCGGGAGGTCGGGGTCGATCTATGCAGGAAGGGTGAGACGGAAGGAACATGGACCATGTAAGAGAAAGGTAAAAGGCGTTCGTTAGCATCACAATAAAAAACTAGAAACCACGAATCGCGTGAAAAAACAAGAGTACTCACAGAAACATAACAACACCCCGCTTTCCAAATCGCCGCCTGCAAGACATAAAACCAAGCATCCCTCTGCCTACAAACACATATTCTCTCCTCCTTCCCTCCTCCCTTGAGCTCAAGTCTCGCAATCAACCACCTCGCAACCGAATTACTCCTCCCATTCAACTCTCCATACGTGATCACCTCTTTTCCTCCTCCCCCTTCTTCGTCCCACAAATCACCCGACGCGTATATCTCATGTGCAGGCCATTCGGGATGCGTAGCCGCGGTGCGGAGGAGGTATTCCGTGACAGGGTGCGCAAGCGCCGGGTCATACCTCTCTGCGAAGGGCGATATAGATAGTAGGTTGTCGTCCGGAGGAGGAGATTGAGCGGTATCGGAGGAGGAGGCGATGAGATGCACGAGGTGGTCCACGAAGAGCGAAGCAGAGGCAGGCGAGATGAGGGCTGCGTCTGAACGAAGTTCAAGGTTCAGCTCTGCCGGCTTGTCGTCTTCATGTGGTAGAGAGAGGTTCGCGAGGAGCTGGAGGACGTTCTCGGACCACTCGGTGCCACTGTGGCCCCACCCGAACTCGACCGGGAACAAAGTGCCACCCTGAGTGTCGCCGAGAGCCAGCAAGGACATCAAGTCTTCTGTAGCTCCAGCTGGATACTCGACCTCGTCGTCGTCGCTAGCATCATCGCCACGGAAGCGAGCGAGAGAATTGGGCAAGACGTGCACGAGGAGGTCCTGAGAGTCGATGTATTGCTGGACGAGAGCAGTGTATGCTTTTAAGACCGTTTTCTTCACGGTGTTCTGTACATCCTCGGCATGAGAATGTTTATCCTCATCTGGGGATGATGAAGGAGAGTGGGAGAAAGACGGGAGGGTGAGAGTGCGGTGGACGTGTATGGGCGCGTGAGGTTCGTTGCGCGACGACGAGCCAAGGTTGGGCAGCGAGCGATGAGTATAGTTCTCGAGGACGCGGGCGACGGCGTCCATAGCGCACACAGAGTCAAGCACAAGCACAACAGGGAGACAGACTTCAACGACCAGAGACCCCTTGCATTTTCTTTTCCTCCAGTCTTACGAGTCAACCCGAACCCGGAATTTACGAACCCGTACAGTCATTTATTCGATATTTGGAAACCAAGAGTAATAATCGAGGATGGACACATGAGAGCCCAGCATGGTCCATGTCTACGTGCCCGCGTTCCTTGCTCCAAGTGCTGAAAGTTCCAAGATGTTCGGACGAGTCGGGCGGTCTGTCGGACGAGAGGATGATGGCGAATCCATGACGAGACGAGGACGACGACTGACGCGCCTGCGATCCGGCGTTTGATCTTATCCGATAGCGGCGCGTCATCCGCCCCGCCAAGCCTCCCGGAGTCATTTGCAAACTTTTAGATCCGCATGCTCCAGGCCGCAATTTTTATCTGATAATCGCTTTCCCTCGATGATCGTGGGATGTGCGAACGCAAACAAGGTTGGCATCTCGTGTCTCATCAGCTTCTCCGGCCGGCTGCGAATGAAGAAGCAACAAAGAACCTCGTTTCTCGCCACATCGCCGTTCCTCCATCCTCCTCAGTCCTCCGTCCACGTCCTCCTCGTCTGCAGCTAGTCTCGTCCGTGGACCAGTTGCCGTCCTTCAGATCTTGGACATCAGCTTGATCTCTCTGCGCATCTTTCTCTCGGACCCTCAGCTTTCCGGACGCCCGAACGCCCGTGCTTTCCAATGAATCCGAATGACAGACCTTGCTTGTCCCCTTTCGCGAACCCTCTGCAATTCTCTCGTGCTGGAACTTTTCGTTCAGGAACAGTCGTCACTTTTACGACTGCTTGGCTGACTCTGGACGGTCGCGCAGCGCCTAGCTTAATCCGTGAAAGAATTCGAAAAGAAAACATGGATATCTACTTGCCCCGCCATCCGTCTCGACCCGCATCATAGCTCGTGTCTCCACTTGTCCAAAATTCCCCGCTCGTAAATCCTAAGCTGCCCGTCCTCCCCCTCCCCTTGTCCATCTGTGCTCTCCTTCCCCTCGCCCTCATTCTCGTCGTCATGGCCATCGAGCAAAAAACGAAACCTCAGGATCCGACTGAGCCCCTCGTCTACCTCCACAAAATCCCCGACCTCCCAAACGTCCACTGTCTTGCCCTCAACCGTAATGTAGCCCGAAACGCGTTCAGCAAGCAGATGGTCAAGGACATGCACGCGCTGCTGAAACAAGTCGAGAGCGATCGTTCGTGAGTATTCATCCTCCACAGCCATGTTACCACTGCCCCTTTCGCGCCACCCGAAAACGCCACACTCACTCACTCACCCACTCTTGAAACTTCCGTATTGCATAGCGTGACAGTCCTGATAATATACTCTCCCCACCCCGTCTTCTCCGCGGGTGCCGACCTCCGCGAACGCGCCGCCATGAGCTCCACTGCCGAAGTCTGCCAGTTCCTCGACAAGTAGGCTTCCCAAAAAATATACACCTGGATAATTCGTGATACTTTCCACTCACCTACCCCCAACGAAACGCAGCCTAACAGCGATGATCAACGCCGTCGAGAACCTCGAGGTGCCCACCATCGCAGCGATGGACGGGCCCGCTCTAGGTGGCGGCCTCGAGCTCGCCCTAGCCTGCGATTTCAGAGTCGTCGGTCAGTCTCTTCCCTATCCCTCTCCTTCCTTCTCCCCCTTCTACTTCCATCACTCCACTCATCCTCACCCTCGTACTGACGTCGAATACAAATACAGCCCCATCCGTAACCAAACTCGGCCTCCCCGAATGCAAACTCGGCATCATCCCCGGCGCCGGCGGCACCCAACGCGCGCCTCGTCTCATCGGGCGCTCGAAGGCTAAAGAACTGATTTTTACGGGGCGGGCGATCGATGCGTGTGAGGCGCGACGGATCGGTGAGTTTATTTCTTTTCTTTTCCTTTGCTTTTCTCCAAAGTTGAGAGCTTTTGATTGACTGAAATATTCGTGGCGCACAGGTCTGGTAGACTACGTCGCCGAGACAGGTCAGTCCGCGTTCGAGAGGGCATTAGAGCTCGCCCGAGAAATGAGCACAAGCGGTACGTATCTCCTCTCACACACTTATCCCTATCCATTATCCATTGAACTAATACCTCCCCTACCTAACAGCACCCCTCGCCCTCCGCGCCGCCAAAACCGCCATCTCCCTCTCCGAGACGCTCTCTCTCCCGGAAGGCCTGCACGCCGAACGACGGTGTTACGAGCCTCTGCTGGAGACGCGGGATCGGCGGGAGGCGCTGGAGGCGTTTGCGAGTGGGCGGCGGAGGGCTGTTTTTGTTGGGGCGTAGTGTGAGTAGGGGGTGTGAGTATAAGTAAAGAAATTTTGGGTCATGGTATGGGTTGGGTGTATGTTTATGTTTATGCATGGGTATATGTATCTCAAAAATGACTGAGGGTGACAGAATAAAGCATGCCGTGTTGTAACCCGTTCACCCAAAAACTGGGTCTGCCAGTGCCACTCGGTGCCACACTCACGGCGACAAGGAACAATGGACCGGCATGCTCGGCCCGAAAAGTTCAACATTCGTGTCGCGCTTCGACTCACACTCGTCGTAAGTACTCACTATAGTCTCCTAAAGCAGACTGGCGAATTCTTCAACCGGCTGGCGCAAGGATCACTCTGTATAACTCACCATGGCCAGCGCTATGTCTGAATCTGAAACCAAGTCTGACAACAGCAGATCATCTTCTCCCGAACCTGTCTATCAACGCGACCAAGAGGTCAGCTTGTCCATTCTTTCCTTCCTTCATTGTTCCTCCAGCTTCAAGTGCTCACCAACGACAGGCCTTCGAAGTGTACTGCGAGGAACGCGAACCAATGTCTCAACTCCACCCGGCCTTCGTTGTAGACCGCAAAGTAGCCACCCATCCTCTCTGGCGTGGCCCAATCGTCCTATGCTTTGGTTTCGGCATCGATTCCGACCTTCTCGTCGATTATGCTCTGAAGCACGGGCTCACCACCCAAGAAAAACTGTCCGAAGGCTCCTTTCAGCGTCGAGGGCGCACGCGCGCAAGTGCCATGTTTGACGCGCAGAAGCACCTGAAGAAAAAAAGTCGTGCTGCGCGGCTCCATTTACGGTATCCGGTGCATGTGAAGCACGATATCGTGATTGCGCTGTATGATAATTATTCGAAGGAGAATGAGGAGATGTCGGAGGAGCATGAGCGGATCGTACTTGATTACTGGAGGAATGCGTTAGAACTTCCGGAGGACGAGATGCCGCTGTGGTATTTTGAGCAGGATTAGATCGCTGTTGTGACGAGTTGTTGAGTTCTCGGTTGGTTCTCGGAGATTTTATTGTACGTGTTGTGTGGTGCTTAGAGACATGGGTGGACTGGAAGTTTTATGTACGTTGAATGGTGCTGTTGAATAAGAGTAAACACAATGAAAATCTCATTCTGAACGACTCATTGGGCTAATCACGCATTATCACGGTGACTTAGACGAGGGAACAATAAACCGGCATCCTCGGCCCGAAAAGTTCAACATTCGTGTCGCGCTGATGGAAGTCGCGCTGAAGCGTCGACTCACTTGCGACTCACACTCGTCGTACTTACACTCACCATAGTCCCCTTAGACTAGCCAATCCCTCAACCACCTGGCGCAAGGATCACTCTCACCAGCGCTATGTCTGAATCTGAATCCAAGTCTGCAGCTGACAACAGCAGATCACCCTCACCAGAATTCGAATTTGACTTTCGACGCGACCAAGAGGTCAGTACAGGTCAGTACCGGTCAGTTCTGCTTTCCCCCAACCCCAAGTACTGACCAACTCAAAATTACAGGCCTTCCAAGTGTACTGCGCGGAACGCGAACCAACGCCCCAGCTGGACCCCGCCTTTGTCGTAGACCACAATTTAGCTCGTAATCCACATTGGCGCGGCCCAATCGTCTTACGTTTCGGTTTCGGCATCGATTCTGAACGTCTCGTCGATTATGCTCTGAAACACAACCTCACCACCTTAGACAAACAGTTCTCAGGCCCCGTAGAGCGTCAAGGCCGCATGCGCGCAAGAGCCATGTTCGACGCGCAGAAGCACCTGAAGAAAAAGAGTCGTGCTGCGCGGCTCCATTTGCGATATCCCGTACACCCAAAACACGACATCATGATTGCACTCTACGACAACTACTCAAAAGAGCACGAAGAAATGTCGGAAGAGCATGAGCGGATCGTGCTTGATTACTGGAGGAAGGCGTTGGGACTTCCGGAGGACGAGATGCCGCTGTGGTATTTTGAGCAGGATTAGATCGTTGTGATGAGTCGTTATGTGCTCGGGGATTCGAGGTCGAGTATACCTTTCATTGTAGATGTTCTGCGGTGCTTAGAGACATTGGTCGACGGGAATTTCTCTGTACATTGAATGACGCTGTTGAACAAGAGCAAATAGAACGAAAATCTCATTCTGAACGACTCATTAGACAGTAATTACAGTAGACGTGGGCTGCACCCCTCCCTCTTCTCCTGCGCACACACGAGCTCACACCCAATAATCCTCAATCCCCGGCGCCCTCTGCCTCCAAACCCTCCCGATCCTCAAATCCTCCTGTCCATCATCATGCACCTCGCAAATCGCCGGTGTCGCGTTCTCGTCCTCGAACGAGGCGGGCGGACTGGGATTGCGGAACGTCACGTTCCGGGTCTGTGGATGCGACCGAGCATGAAGATTAGAAACGACTACGTGAAGATGAGAGGGTAAGGAAGAAACACATACGAGACCAAGACTCATATGTATCCCCACCGGATGCTCCTCATATTCCTTCAACTCCACCTCCACCTCCTTCCTCATCCCCTTCTCTCCCTGACAAGTCCGACACCCCCCATCCTCCATATCCGCCTCGCCATGCGCTCCCCCCTCACAGCTCACCTCACAACTCGTCTGTGCTCTCTCCTTCTTCGCCTTGGCCTGCACCAACCGCGCAACATTCTCCACCAACACCCTCGCCTGCGCATACGCCGGTTTCGCCGCCTTATGGTGCGTCGTGTGCGCGACGTCGCCGAGCGCGAAGATATGTGGGTATTTCGGCTTGCACTGCGGCGTCGGGTTCGCGGTGTCGGCGAGCTGGAGGGTGCGGTGGATTGAGATGAATTGGTTTTGGGGTGGTGGGGGAAGAGAGGGTGATGAAGAGGCGGGACATGTGAAAAAGGGAGGAGAAGGAGGCGTGAGCGAGGATGGGGAAAATGTGGAGATTATGGATGAGTTGGGCGTTTGGCCTGTTGCGAAGATCTATATTATGAATGCGGGAGGTGAGCGTGCGTTAGGGAACTTTGAACTGCAGGAAGCTTACTACGAAATCAGCCTTGATTTTCTTCCCGCTCCCCAACTCGACCTCGAACTCCTCCTGCTCTTCTTCGACGACCGCACTTCCCCCCTTGCCCTTCCTAGCCACACGGGGAACACGAAACCCGCCCTCGGGGACATTGACTCTCTCGCCCAGTATGACCTCCACCCCGAGTTCAGAGCATCTCTGTGCGATGATCGAATGGAGTTTGGGATGGAAACGGTGCATGAGGCGGGATCGGGAGTGGACTAGTGTTACGTGCTTGGAGTGACTGGAATAGTGGTCGGCTATATCTGTTGCCATTTCTAAAAACAACATACACCGTCAGTCCTAATAACACAGTGGACGCGATCAAGGAGAAAGGTTAACTCACGAATACCAACGGCTCCGCCACCGACAACTACAATCCGCTTACTCCTCCTCACCTGCTCCTGATACGCCCTAAAATACTCCACTCCGTCCATTTTCCCCTCCGTATGCAGACTTCCAGGCGGACTGAGCTTCGTCCCGGTCGCAATGACGAGGTACTCATATGGTACCTCCACCACCTCTCCCTCTCCCTCATCCCCCTCCTCAGACTTCTTCCTCACAACCACACAATCCTCCCTAATCGCCGTCGCAAGCCCTTGCAAAACCTGCACCGGCCTCTCATTTTCGCCCTCACGGGGACACGGGCAATTCCCCGCCTCCCTCGCACAGACACACGGCCTCCGAATCGGGAGGGAAGAAAACATGGCATTGTAGGGGATGAACGCTTTGTGCTCATGGCCGGGTACGACCGCGAAGCGGGGAAAGGCGAACAGGTACTGGAAGTGGCTGTTCTTTTCGATGAGGATGATGTTGTGCGTGGTATGCAGGCGGGTGGCGAGGAGTTCGGCGGATTTAGTGCCTGTTGCGGGGTGATAGACAATAATGTTAGGGTGGGTTCGTGGACATGTGTAGAGACGGGGCTGCTAGTGATGCATAGAACGAGGTTTGATGGTGATACTTTGGACGTGTGGCGTAGAAGCTTCCCAACTAAGAAAAACACAAAGACCGTTCCGAATCACGCGTTCCGAGCATAATCCCGCGGTGATACAGTATTGTTCCACCAGGCTGCACGCCGACGGAGCAGAGGAACCCATTCACGTTCAATTCAGAACACAAGATCACTCCGTGTCCATCCAAACGCCCATGAGCTCATGCAATGGTCGCATTACCGTTCCAACGGACTGAAGCTTGGACTAGAAGAACATGGAAGACAGAAGGCTCGTAAAGTTTAAACTCACCGACAAAGCTACCGCCTATCACGACGATGTTCTTCTTCTGCGAATGCACCGATGGAGGCACGGTAGGAGGTCCTTGTACGTGTACAGGTACGGGTGCGGGGGTAGACGCGAGAGGGAAGTCACCGTTGGCCATTGTGGTCGAAGTACGTGGAGCAGATGGACAGGGCGAGAGGTAAGATGGTGTTACCAAAGGTGTGGGTATGTGGGTCTATTCAAAGAACAAGAACGGAGAAGTCAGCCCTCTTTTCTTTTCTAATATTACCATGGACCATGGGTACGTACCCAGACTGCGTGCTATAACTGGGGCTTCAGCTCAAGTTCGACGGGTTAGGAAAGCAAGGTTCCGATTTTTGCTAGGAGCACGGAAGGGAATGAGGGAGAAGTAAAAGGGCGAGACTGTTTGTCTAGCCACGGCCTGTTTATGTTCCTGCGCATACTTTTACTCCTAGCGACTCCAGACGGAGAACGTCGACGCGGAATTGACGCGGAAAGGCTCGCAATATCTCGGGCTCGGAATCGGACGCCGATAACGTTGAACACGCATGATTATCTGATAAGGTCCCCGCGAGGACCGTCGCAGTCATCGCAACGCCTGCGACATCTACAGTCCGAGCCCGGTCCGGAAAGATCGTGAATATTCGTCCATGCGGTTCGAGAATTTTCACTGGACAACGCAAGGCCCGACGACAAGAATTTTGCATCATGGGTTGTATGAATGTCGATTGTTTCCGACTGGAGCGAGCAAAAACGTTGCAATCATGCCGACAAATTTTCCTTATTTTCGTGGAGTACTTGGTACGACGCACGTTGTGGAGAGAAGAGCGAGAAATGGCGAGAGATGGCGCCTGCTGGAGAACAGAGGAGAGGCAGAGAGCAGCAAATATGATCATAATCACAACAACACGTCTACACATCCATACTATCCACATTTTACTAAGTTCCCTAAGTCAAAGTTCCCAACACTAAGACCGATGAACAAACAAGAGAAAAATAAAGAAACATATGGTACCACTAAGCACACAAATCCGCGACCACCTCGCCCGACTTGACGCCCATAACGCTCAACAACGTATCGCTCAACCCATGCGTCGCCTCCGTGCACCCCTGCAAATAAATCCTCCCACCCATCTCTTCTCCTTCGACGGGCATGAGCCTGTACGCCCTCGAGACGTACAACTTCGTCCCCGACGAAGGCGGGGTCAACTCCGTCGACGCAGCGAGCGAATGAAGAGGCGGCGTGATCGGCGTAGAAGGCGCACTACTATCCGTGGACCCAGCCGGACTCGTACTCTTTCTGCTCGCCCTGCCCCTGCCTTGTCCACCATACCCCAACATGTTCCTGAGCTCTTCGTCATGCACATTGATCTCGTCCGCAGAGCAGACCTTGACGTCCTGAGTGCGCACGGACTTGTTAAGCCCAAAGCGGGAGGCGACGTTCGAGTTGGCGATGAGCTTGATCCAGCCGGTGCGGTCGTAACCTGTTCCGCAGACGACGAGGTCGTAGGTCGAGTTGGAGAGGGATGCGTGCGCGGCCGGGTTTTCGGAGGTGCTGGAGGAAGAAGAGTCGTTGGCGAGGAGATGTTGAAGGGTGAGAGTGAGGGTGTCGTGTGCTGTGTGTATCATGGGACAGGGTCAGTGATAGAAGTGAGGGATACATCGGAAGAGACTTACCCTCCCCATCGAACGCAGGCGAAGCTTCAGCGGACAATATATTCGTATACGACCTCAGCCTGAGCTTCGGGATGCGAAGCTCGGACGAGGTACCTTCCCTCGCGGCGATAGTCTCGTCAACTTGCTGGTCGTAGACGAGTTCGTAGAGCTAGAAAACATTGAACAGTAGATTAGTGCACCGTGTGGGATGAACATGGCGATGCGAGTGAAAGCAGGAATAAACTTACAGTGTCAATAGTCCTCGGGTTGACGACTCCGTAATTCGTGTTCTTGTACTCCCTCGTAACGAACTCACGCGTCTTGTGCGAGCCAAGGTTGTACAGCATATTCGTCGCTGCAGTTACATCCATAGGTCAGTATCCATTCACATAAACACCGAACGGACAAGAAAAATAAAAAATACTGACAGTCAGGATCAAAAATCTCATTCGCGAACGGCGAATCGTCGCTCGGCTTCAATGACCCCTTCCTAAACAACATCTCAAGCTCGTGCCTCACCCCCTTCTCACTCCCAACGATTTTAATCTCGCTCAGCCTCGCATGCAAATCCAACAGCACCTCAGTCGCACTCTGGCCGCACCCGACGACAGCGACGCGCAGAGGGCGGGTCGTCGTTGACACGACAGGACCAGAAGACGAGGAAGGTGAAGGGAAAGCGGACAGGGAAGTAGTGAGGGTGGAGAGAAGGGAGCCGATGGAGGTCACGTAGGCAGAGGAGTGGATGATGCGTGGGTGAGAGTCGTGCGTGAGCAGCGAGAGGGTGGGTGGCATCTTGGCCTTGCCTCCGGGAGACATGATGATGTTTTCTAGACAGATAGATCGATCAAAAGTCAGTATCGCATCCATGAACGGTGTATAGGATGATGAGAAAGAGGAAGTATGGACTTACTGGCTCGACGAACAGTGATAACTCCCGTCTTCGCATCCCGGCTCTCGACCTCGAATGCCCACTCGCCTTCTCCGGCCTCTCTGAACCCAACGACGCTCTGGCCATACTTCACGCCTACACCCCGCTCCTCAGTCCACCTCGCGACCCAGCCCAGATAATCGGCATATTCCTTTCGAGAAGGGATAGTCGTTCCCCGGTTAATGAAGTTGAGGAGGCGGTTCTGGGAATGGAGGTACGAGAGGAAGGTTATGGGCGAGCCGGGGTTTCGCAGGGTTGCGAGGTCTTTCATGAAGCTAAGTCGAGGGAATATAAGATTAAGAGTGAGCGAAAATTAAAGAGGGAGAGGGAAGACGTGAATACTGACCTAATCTGCATACGAGCGCCGGGAAGCAACATTCCAGGGTGCCATCTGAATTTTTCTTGCTGTTCAAGGAAGAGCACATCGCGGATCGGAGTATCCTAGATGTAGCACAAATATACATATCAACACTTCGGTGTCTTGCAAAGTAGATGAAAACGAGGGAGGAGTAGATGCATGATGAAAGATCGAGTAGATCAAAGATCGTAGGAGGCCGGACATCATCGATGGACCAAGGAAATAGCATTCACCTCACCGCTCTCCCACTTCTCGATCAAAGCACCAGCGAGTGCGACATTCGCAGGGCCAAAGCCCAAGCCAACGAGGTCATAGATATTTTTATCTACCACCACATCCGGGGTATTCGAGGTATACATAGCAGTAGACATGACGATGGACCAGTAGACTGTTGAGTTTTGGTTTAGAAGATAAGATGCGATCGAGAGACGCTAGTTGCGAGGTGATAGATAGAAGCGAAGCAAGGCAGATAGGCAGGCAGGCAGCTAGCCAAACAAAACGAGGAGATGTCGAATGTGAGCGGGAGCCGACAGAGGCGGTAGTGACGGAAGGAGGTAGAAGGTGGGTCGGTATCAACCTTCGTTCGTCAAATGATGGAGTTTGGAGCTTCGAATATATTTAGCTTGTCCTGTCTGTGGAGGTATATAAGCGCTGGAAGGAGGAACGAGACGGCGATAATTTCACCGTTTCGATGCCCAGACGAAGGGAAAAATCGGGATGCAGCAGGGTCGGTTTACCAGTGTCCCGAATACACAAATGGAACGCGATGGAATGATTGTTGTGAAGGTGTGGCGCAATAATATTTCTAAAGGTCAGTACCGGTGCTGAGCCCGAGCGACTTCAGATGCAGAGTCGAAAGTAGATGCGTGCATCTCCGAGCATGATTCTGTTCTGGAGTGGGCTGGTTCGGGGGGTCGGTCGATATCTTTCGTCTTTCGGACGTAGCGCATGGAATGCGATCCCGTGGATGAACATTTCGCGCTAGGCCATACGTTAGAGCGAAGGCACCAAGACGAAACAACGAGAACGAGGGTGGTACATCAGCGCAGAGTGGAGGTGATGGACGGATGGACTGTTGGACTAGGATGACGGACTAGCTTCTGCGCCGGAGCTGTGGGTCTTCGTGGCTTTTAAAAAGTTCGACGTTCAAATGGAATGATCGTCGCCCAGACAATCTGATAAGATCATGCACCATTTGCCAAGCACAATGCGCAAATGACGACAGATTTGCGGCAGATCCGGTGTTGTTGACAGCTGTCCTGCGGAGACCGTTGGAGATCTGCAAAATATGGGGTGAAATCTTATCAGATTGCATATCACCATGAGGGGAATTACAGAATCCATGGACAAATAGTTCTGATGAGTCCGAATCGTTCGGGGAGAGCTGAAAGCCGCCGGGCGTTCTTGTGGCCGGTGCGGCGAACCCATCGCCACCGATGAGGATGTCCAAGGTCAAGGGAAAGAGAGAAAAAAAGGCAAATAATACATCAGGAGACTTGCCTTGCTTTTTCCTGTCGTCCCGATCCTCCATCCCTTCGCCAGACTCCAGATGGCGAACTCCACCGTCGGCTATGCGCCAGAGCAGTTCGAAATCCCGACAGACTTCACCTTCTCTCTCGCCGACTCAACTTCCGTACGAGGCGTTGAATCCACTACCGGTCTTTCAGTCTACCTGGGAGCAGCGGGCGCAGACTTGTCCTCTGCTGAAACGCCTTTCGTCACCTTAAAATTCCTCGAGCGCACTCTTCGCACCAGTCTTCATGGTGTCGTGAACGACGACCGAGCGCAACACCTCCCCGTCTTCTCGCTCAGCCTTTCCTCGCCAAAATCTGAACTCAGCCCGAAAGATGCTTGGGCCATCCTGTACGCTCTCTGGATCCGCCGTCCCTCTGAAGACGTCGTTCCGGTCTCGCTCGATACCGAATCCATCGCCAACGTGGAGGATATCCTCATCTATCTCACCCACACCGGTCTCGCGTTCTCTCCTCCTGACGCCACCGCGCCTACCGATCTCCTCGTCTCCAGACTCGCATTCTGGCAAGGCGCGGGTGCACCGCTCGAGAGGTCGTGGCATCGTGCTCCTATTCCGCATCCTTCCCTCTCCGGCCTCGCTCCGTTCGGATTCACTCCTTCCTTCACGCGCGCTACCAACGTCTGCACCATCCATCCTCTCCGTCCGCCGAAGCCCGCACCCGGAACCATAATCTACTCGCGTTATATCTTCGCCGTCAACCAAACGCTGACGTTCATCCATATCAACGCGAACGACCCTCTCCATTTCGAGACGTACTGTCGGTGGCAAAATAGTGATCGGGTGAACCATGGGTGGAGGGAGAAGGGTGACGACGAGCACCATAGGAAATATATCGAGGAGAAGCTGAGGGACAAGCACTCCATGGGTTTCTTGGTGGCGTGGGATGGAGAGTTCGCCGGGTACGGGGAGTGTGGATATGTAAAGGAGGATCATATGGGGACGTTCGTCGGTGGCTTGGGTGATTATGATCAGGGTATGTTATGGGAACTGTTGGTTTCGCTTAGATTGACTACAAAATTAACGATGACTTTGGCCGGGCAGGGACTCACCTCCTGGTAGGCGAACAGAAGTTCAGGGGCCATACGCGCTGTACGTCTCATTTATACCTCCAGCTCTCACTCATCCCTCAATTTGCGCCCCCACAGTCTCCGCTATCATGACCTCCATGAAACACATGTGCTTCCTCCGCGAGCCTCGTACCGAAGTCGTCGTCGGCGAACCGCGTACAGACCTACCCATCATCCCAAAACTGATCAAGGCGCTACCGCAGGAAGTCAACAGGGTACGTTCCTCTCGCTTTTCCCTATAGAATGACCAAACAAGTCGCGCAAACACTAACGAACAATGCATTTGTATGGTTGCATAGGAATTCGAGCTGCCGCACAAACGCGCGGTCTACTTCGTCCTCCGCAGACAGAGATTCTTCGAGGCGGGGTTATTTTATTAACTGACATCCTAGTTGGATGCTCGTCTTTGTATGAGAATGAGAGAAGTCGAATAAGGTCGGTGTAGGATGGGTGGGAGGAATGGGTGAACGTTTGGTTGTTGTTGGCGAAATGTGGCTAGCGCGTTTGTATCTCCGCTTCAAATACCGAAAAAATAAAGTTGAAGTCAACATTTCTCAAGTCATTCGACGACGCCAACGTTCAGCGCTCAGCACTCAGCTCTTTGATGCATCCTCCTATCATCGTCTCGGCTTGTAAGTCTTCTGTGTCTTCACTATCCTCCATTACTCTATTCTACCGCACTGCCGAAGTTCGAGCGCTCTCTATGCCGCGGCGACTCGTTTGTCCTTATACTCTGGTCCGGGCTTTTATTCTTTGTTTGTTCTCAAAAAGTGCTCTTTGGAATCGGTACCGAGGGTGACGATGTAGGCGCAGCGCAGGATCATCGATCACTTCTTACCCTGCTACGCCACAATGAATCCGCAGCCTCCGTCCCTTGAGTCGACCTGGACCTGCGACGCCTCAGATGCTTCGAGATGTTCGTACAGAATGTGTTGTGCTCTCACAACATCCGGTCAAGCGAATGGGCTAAGTACTGCGGGAATTTTTCTACAGGAACAAACGGGGAGAAGCAAGTCTAAGTCCGGTCGAGACTGCAGCACCGAAGCCTTCACCCTCCGCAGGCCTTTTCATGCCTACGATTGAGGCTTATTACTTACGCGTGTCAATGCTGCGAACTTCGAGACGAAGTTCTGCATCGACCGCACCCGTGGCTAGGGAGAACCGTTCCATAACACTCTAATGACGCAACTCAGCTCAGCTCAGCTCTCGTCCGTGCGATGGTGCTTTCCACCTCCATATACAGCCCCGGCACCGAATACATATCCGACTGCCAAACTGGGAAATTGCCTCGGTACGTCAGAGAGTGCGCCTGATTGTTGGAAAGTCGCCCTCGAACACGAGGTGGTTCGCTGCTTCTTTCATCCCTTTGCTTCTTGCGGAATTGGCCTTGTGGACGATCGTGCATTTTGATTCGTCGGACCGTTATCAGATATGATCATCACATGTGTACCCTCGGATTCTTTGTGGCCGCTTCCTGAGGTTTTTGTCCGCTGTTCTCCATTCGCTAGAAGGTTCGTGGACCTGTCGTCCATAGCGCCCCGCAAGAGTGTCCTAGGGAGTGCGAGACCATCCTCACCGTTTACGCTTTGCAGGCTCCATGATCATGCGACAGCTAGTCCTCCTTCGAAATTTCATGTCCTCCTTTTCCATTCCAACCGGTTCCTCGCCCCCATGTAAGTATTCACACACTACGCGCTCGATTCTTCATGTCTCCTCTCGAGAGCATACTTATTTCAGGCGGTACCTGACCACAAACCGATGGCACAAACCTGCCTGACCGGTCGATTTCGGAACCCCAATAAAAATGATGATCTTCCCGGTACCTCGCGCCAGTGCTGACTCTTTATGCTGAGAGCCAAGGCCTTTTTTCTTGCTCTTCCCTCTTCGCGCTCACTCGCCAAGTTTACCTTGTGCTCTTCCTTGGCGGACTAGCTAACTGTTGACTGCACAGAGTCATCATATCAGCGAATATGTCTCAGGAAACGCCCTCCAAGACTTATGGTCAAGCCCACACAGACCTCGAACGTGACGACTCGAAGTCCGTAGGTGCATCAGGCTCCGACTCGTCTCCCGCCACCAACGGGCCTATCGCAGAAGAACGCAAGTCTGGCGCGGAACGTATCGAGGCTCTGTACACCGTCTTTGACAAAAAGAACGGAGCCTCGATATGGCTGCTTTACTTGAGTTTGGGGCTGTTCTTCTATGCGTACAGTTTGGCGAGCAATACGGTCAGCAATTACCTCGCGTTTGCGACGAGTGCGTTTGGCGAGCATTCGGTGTTGAGTACGATCTCGACGATGGTTTATATTATCGGTGCTGTTGGTGAGTTACCATTTTTCCTCTCCGACTTGATCGAAGAGACTTGACTTTTTGTATTAATGGCTTGCTGACTGGATGTGGCGAATATTTTACTTGGTGTGCGTGAATAGGAAAGCCTTTCGTGGCCCAACTTGCCGATATAACTTCCCGTCCGGTCGCCTACGCCTTCTCTCTCGTCCTTTACACTCTTGGATTCATAGTCGTTGCGGCTGCTCCGAACGTGGCCGCTCTTGCCGCAGGTACGTCTTCGGCATCCTCCTTCATTACTTTCTTCGTCTATGCAGCACACTGATCCTCTACATACCTCATTGTTACTTTGTGTAGGAGAACTTCTTTACGCCATCGGAGGCGTCGGGCTGACGCTCGTCACATCGCTCATTGTGGCTGATCTCAGTCCGTTGGAATGGAGAGGATTTATCACGGCCTTGCCTGATATGCCTTATATCATCAATGCTTATGTCTCGTACGTTTCCTACAGTGTTACCTTGAGGCCATACAGATCTTGACTCTGATATTTTGCAGCGGTTTCATTACGGATGGCCTTGGTGAGGATGGATGGTATGTATTCTTTTTACTCAATCAATCTGCGTATCTGAGCACTTACGACCTTACCTACTTTCACAGGCGTTGGGGTTACGGAATGTTCGCCGTAAGCCCACTTCACTCCTCCTAGCCATACTTTCTCGGATTAAACTCTCACTGACGCACTCCCCATTCACCTCACTCTCAACTTTGCAGATCATAATGCCCGTCGTTATGGCCCCTGCCCTCATGGTCCTCTTCTGGGCCGACCTCAAAGCCAAGCAACATGGTATCGCCTCAGGTCTCACCCGCGCCCATTTGCACGAGAAGAAGTCCGTCTGGCAACACACAAAAGATTTCTGCATTGCGATCGACGCGTTCGGGTTGATCCTGTTGGGTTTTAGTTGGACTTTGGCTTTGTTGCCGTTCACGTTGAAGAGTACGGCGGCTGGAGGATACAAGAATCGTAGGTATTTGCTCATTCTTCCCTTCTGTTTCGAAATAGATTGAGGGAAATATTGATTTTTTTGTCGTTGATAGCATCTTTGATTGCGATGTTTGCCACCGGAGGGGTTCTCTTCTTTGTGTTCATTGCGTATGAGAAGTTTTACACTTCGCACCCGGTTCTTCCCGCAAGGATCTTGAACAAAGTCTTCATCCTGGGTGTCATCATCGGTACGTTCTGCTCTTATTCCCTCAGTTTAGACAGTTATGTTGGACGATAGAGTGCTGAATGATACGCCACTTCATGATGGATGATGCAGATATGTTCTTTTACATCGCTGGCGAGCTGCGTGGGACGTATTATTCCAGTTGGACTTATGTTGTATGTCTTGCCTTTCCTCGCCGGTGGCCAAAAACGTATTCTTGACATATCGTGGCAATTCTACACAGGTCACCGATTGGTAGGCACTCCTCACTGTTATGCTCGGTAATCCACTCTGTTGTTTCACTGACTTGGATCCTCTACGGCGACGTTATGTGACGATTTAATAGGACACTCTACGAATGGACGATATTCTCCAACACCGAAACAGTTGGACTTTGCGTCTTCGGCCTGATTGCAGGCCTGATCCAGAGGGCAACGCACAGGTTCAAGGTACGTACTCTATTGCCATACCACATTCTACGTTTCGCATTGGTGCTCACTTATCAATTCCTATGTTCCATAGTGGCTGCAAGTGTCCGGTCTTTGCATATACATCATGTTTGTACTTTCATCGCCATCGTGAAGTTTAGAATGATGGCGCTGATTCTAAGTGACTCTCAACAGCGGCATAGGCATCACACTCTACGCTCGCGGTGACCACGCCACGTAAGTTTCGTCACGGATATTCACTCCTTCATATAAATATTCAAGTCGTCTACAACACTCACACATTCTTCCCTCCACGTCCCACGTCTATGCAGTTCCGTTGCCCTCGCGTGGACTCAAATCCTCATCGCCATGGGAGGCGCCTGCTCTGTCGTTGGTACCCGTGTCGCCACTCAAGCTTCCGTACCGCATGAGGATCTGGCCGTCGTGATCGCAAATCTGGCGCTGTGGACTAAGTTGGGAGGCGCAATGGGAGTTGCCATCGGTACGTTGCTTGTGCTCCGTTTGACCTATAATTGATTGGTTGTGGACTGATCTTCACTTCTCTTTTCTACGGTGGCGATGCAGCTGGTGGTGTATGGAGGTCAGTGCTACTCGCTTTGCTTTCCCGCTTCATTAGGTCGGGTGTGCTGATGTCACGTCTATTATATCTCTGCAGTGGAACGATGCCTTCGAACCTCTCCAAGAATCTCACACCTCTTGGGGTTTCTTCCGCCACGATTACCAAGATCTACGGATCTATCAAGACCGCGAAGACGCAGTCGGACGACATAAGGGCTGCTGTTATCACCGGTGTGTACAGCTTACCTCTCACTTCCTCCTTCTATCTGGCGATTCTGACGTGCGATCTTTATGGCAGCATACGACGAAACCGTCAAGCCGCTCTATATCGCCGCTCTTGTTCTCGGTACGTCATCCTTGGCTGTTCATCTCTGTCTCCTCACTTTCGATCTCGTCTCCTCACCTTCAAAATGTTCTTTTTGCTTGTCGCAGCTTTTGTTCCACTTATCGCCGCCCTCCTCACAACGAACTACTACCTCGGCAAGACACAAAATGCTGTCGATGGGAAGCTGCACGCCATGTATCGCGAGGGTGGGAGCGAGGAACATGCTGAGGGCGAGTTTGTTCAGGAGAAGAAGTAAGGTATGGAGCTTGCGGTAAGATCTCTGTGGTAAGGCAATGACGAGACGACAGAGAAGCCTGGTCTAGAGGAACGGAGAGCACCAGACGATTTCTTTTACGATTTAGGCCTTTTTGCCCTCATGTGTACTGACGATGACGGTGACTTCTTTGACTCGGTGTTATTTACACATCCCCAAAATGTGATACCTTCTTTATCCTGACTCAAGACGCTCGAGTGTGTTCGTTCCAGAAGCCTTTGCACAACAATCGTCAATAAACTAAATGACGCCGAGTTTGCGTCCGGAGTCAACTTCAAGTTGCAAGCTCTCTGCTGCTTTCAGTTCTACGGTCGAAACTCACATTCAACATCAAAGTTTTGTTGGTATATGCACTCTTTGCTCTAGGCGACTCTATTGATAATATAAGACGGCTTTTGTTTCTTGGAAAATTATATGTCCCAGTGAGTCTTTTCTGCACAAATTCTTCCTACAAGGTTACACCGTGAGTTAAGTCCTTCCCGGCGGTGCTCTCTCCGAAAATACGTGTATGCACAGTCCTGGGTGCTCCTGCCCACCAAGGCAGATAATTGTTGCCGTCTTTCTTTCACATTCCTCACCATGTCGTGCTCGAAGATCCTTCGGGCCCGTTGTTTCCTCGTCTTCATTAACGATAGGTCTAATCGAGTTCATAAAGCGAGCTTCTTTTCAAGCAAGCAGGGATGCCATACAAAGCCCATATCGACAGACCGCCCTTGCCAAAGACGCGATAGAGGGCTTCTATACGCTCAGCACCGGAACGACGCTCCTCTGCAACGGGGCCTGGGGTGACGAGGAGCTCTGGTTGAGCGTCTGCCTCAAGATCACGATCATGGTCAGACGTGGAAGACGATCTCTTCGATTTTGTCTCAAGACCGTGGGGAGTAGACATCCTTGAAGAAGAGGAGGGGAGGAGGGGCGCCGACTCGTCTACGGAATCTCTCGACAGAACCGCGTCTTCATCGTCGTCATTCATATGCATTCTGAATCTGCTAAAATCTGAATTACTCTAGATTGCCTGGCTGTGGACAAGCAAAGGTACGATGCGCAAACTTGCATTTGGCCGACACCAAGTCTCTTGGCTTGGACAGCGATGGGCTTGGGATTCGGAGTGAGGGCGATGGAGGAGCAGAAAGGGAGGGACACGGCCTGCTGGCATCGTTCGCAGTCGGACGAGTGTCCGCGCGCCAAGTCCGACTGCCGGTTCCTTGTTCCAAGACCGGAGGCAGACGGAGGCACCGCGCGCTCCATCATACTTATCAGATAACGCTGACATATCTGATACCGGCAATCACCAGCAGGCATTCGGAAAATCGATCGAGCGCCGGTGATCATCCCAGGCGAGATATTGTCTCCGGCTCGGAAATACTGATCATCTAATCTCTTCCTGGAGATGCGGGGTCACTCATCCCGAGCTCAACTCACAAAAGAGTTTGTAGGCTTGAGGACCCATCGTGTCCTTACCTTGGAACCACGGCCATTTCTTCACCGAGCTAGCACTGCTACGCTAATTTCAAAGTATCACCGACGAGTTTCAACCACTTTTCCGGCTTTCGTATAGTCACGGTAGTAGTACGAGTACCTTGTGGGATTGGGAGGTTTGTGCATTAATGAGCCAACTGCGATGCTTTCGGCCTTGAGGTCAAAATTTAGCTGAAACACGGGCCAAGTCCCCGGCCAGCTTGAAGAACGGTGCCGCCCGAGCCTACCTGCTGAAGAAATTTGCACAATCTCAAAGGTCGTCGAAGCTTCTTGACCCGGAAAAATTAGGAAGTTTTACCTGGTACCTGTGGACCATCATGCATCAGGCCCAGGTACAATAGTCGAAGATCAGCCTGTTCCTGTTTTTCTATGCGTATAGTCTTGCGGGGAACACAGTCAGCAACTATTTGGCATTCGCCACGAGCCATTTTGGAGAACACACGGTGTTGAGTACGATTGATACGATGGTCTACGTTATCGGCGCTGTCGGTAAGTCACTAATGTCGAAGTCTGGACGGGATGCCGGACTTAGTGGCTCAAAAACTGACGCGTGTGGGCTTCGATAGGTAAACCATTTGTGGCCCAATTGGCGGATATCACTTCAAGACCGATCGCGTATTCCGTCTCTCTTGTCCTCTATGTTCTTGGTTTCGTCGTCGTCGCTGCTGCTCAAGGAATCGGCGCCGTCGCAGGAGGTATGTGATCCGCCTTGCATTATTTCGTCTCGTTGCATACACTTTATACTGCAGTATTGACGAGTCTGGCATCATTTTTGTATATGTACAGGACAACTTATGTATGAAGTTGGCTCCGTCGGCCTTGACCTTGTCACGGACCTCATCGTGGCAGACTTGTCTCCTCTGGAATGGTACACAACCCCTCTTTCCCCTCGCTCCGTTCTGCCCTCTTCAAGGCTTATCATCCAAGATTTGACTGATGCTGACTCGAATGATGAATTGATTCTGTAGGCGAGGTTTTATGACCGCGCTCCCGAGTGCGCCGTACATCATCAATGCCTACGTCTCGTGCGTCTGAGGTCTTATTTTCATCTTTTTCTCCGAACTTAACATGGACTGTGTATTATAGAGGATTTATCACGGATGGACTGGGTGAAGATGGCTGGTATGTCCCATACTTCGTCTCTCTGTCAATGCAGCGTGAGAGTCAATAATACTGACCAGTATATACGTGCTTTCTCATAATTATGATCTGACAGGCGATGGGGATACGGGATGTTCGCTGTACGCTCAAATTTCTAGCCGTCTCCTCTTATCATTTTCTCATCCCGACACTCGCTCCCTTTCTCGTCCTGCTTGTGGGTCCCCAACCAACAAATACTCACTCTCTTCCGTAAACCTAGATTATGATGCCCGTGGTCATGGCTCCCGCCCTCGTCGTTCTCTTCTGGGCGGACGTGAAAGCGAAGAAGGCCCATATACTATCATTCAGCGCATCCAACTACACGGCGCGGACCGATAAACGTGAGCACCCTCTACACAACTTTTGCCGTATCTGCATCTTGATCGTGACGATGCTGACTGACGCTTTTCTTCCCTGCCGCGCACTTATTCGTGCTGATGATAAAATGGACCGGAACACAAACGAAATAGAGGAACGTAAATCATGGATAATCCTCTGTCGTGACTTTTGCATCAAGATCGACGCGTTCGGGTTGATTTTGCTCGGGTTCAGCTGGAGTTTGATCTTGTTACCGTTCACGCTGAAGAGTACGGCGGCTGATGGGTATAAGAACCGTGAGTCTTCCTTCTTCATTTTCTTTCGTTGTATACCTCTTGTTTTGAGCGGACTTATATGCTGAATTCTTGATGTGTGTCTGTGTGGTATATGATGTGCGACCATAGCTTCGCTGATCGCGATGTTCGCCGTCGGCGGTGTGCTGCTCATCGCGTTCGGACTGTACGAAAAATGGGGAACGAACCATCCTATATTGCCATACAGGATATTGAACAAGGTGTTCATTCTTGGAGTCATCATTGGTGCGTCTATCTCCAACTACTTGAGCGAATACACGTTTGCTGACAGCATGTGGTCTGTATAGATGCGTTCTACTTCTTGAGCGGAAGGCTGCGATCGACGTATTTCTCGAGTTGGACTTATGTGGTTACGGATTGGTGAGTTTCCCTTTCTGCCTCTCAGATCGCACTATCCATCCGGCATCCTCTACGTTGACATGCGCGTCAAAACAACGCAATCCATGCAACTCGCCGTAACACGAAACATACTAACACGGATCGGATTCAACAGGTCACTCTACGAGTGGACGATCTTTTCGAACACCGAGACGGTCGGATTGTGCGTTTTCGGTCTCATCGCAGGTCTTATTCAGAGGTATACGCATCGGTATAAGTGGTTGCAGGTGTCGGGATTGTCGATTCGGATAATGTACGCCCCCTTTCTAGTGTTCCCGAGCGAGATATGAAGCCAACATCTTGGATGGTGCTATGTAGTGGTATGGGATTGACTTTCTATGCGCGAGGCAGCCACGCTACGTGAGTCCATATCTCCTCTTCCATCTCCTCTGTCATACAAATAATCCTCTAACATTCCTCTTCCCCATAAAGAAACGTCGCCCTCGCATGGACACAAATCCTCATCGCTCTTGGCGGAGCCTTCTCCGTCGTCGGCACTCGTGTTTCTACTCAAGCTTCAGTCCCACACGAAGACCTTGCCGTCGTGATTGCCAATCTGGCGCTTTGGACGAAGTTGGCTGGAGCTATTGGAGCCGCGGTCGCAGGAGCCGTTTGGAGGTCAGTTCCTTTCATTGTGCAGTTCTGAGTTCTGCACGAGAAAATGGAGGACTAACAGATATTATGTAGTGGCACGATGCCGACGAACTTGAGTAACCAGCTGCGACCCCTTGGACTTTCCGCTGCAGATATCAAGAAGATCTACGGCTCCATCAAGACCGCAAAATCACAGCCTGCGAACGTGAGGGCTGCGGTCATCATCGGTGCGTTCCCTCTTCTTGGTAACTTCCATGATTGCACGTTGGATTGACAATATTATTGTGATTTAGCGTACGACGCGACTGTCAAGCCGCTCTACATCGCCGCTCTCGTGCTCTGTACGTCCCTTTCCCTCTCCCCTTCTTCCCATGTCTCTTTGTCTTCTACACATTTCTTCCCCGCTCACGGTATTGAGGTCCTGATCATCCGCCATGGAATACACAGCCTTCATCCCCCTCATTGCCGGCCTCCTCACCACGAACTACTACCTCGGAAAAACTCAAAATGCAGTCGATGGACGTGTCCATGCCATTTATGTCGCTGAATCTGGGGAAGCAGCGTACGTACCAGAAGGTGGAGATCCGAGGATGGTCGGGACGGAGGCACATACGGCTGCAGGAGTTGGCGGGGTTGATGATGGGGTGCCTGAGGGCGGAGCTAGGAGGCGGGATTAGGTGAAGTAGGCCGGGGAGAGAGATGGTCGTTTAGATTGAACGCGTCAATGGATTGGGAAAAATGAGACAAGAGACAGGGAGATGTCTCTTGATTAATGTGATTAATGACATGTGAGAGTGTTTTATTGAGGGATGTGTTTTTACTTGTAACTTCCCCCTTGTTCCGAGTCGTTCTCTGCTCGGAGATTTAGAGTAGATATTTCGCGTTACAGTGACCAGGTTACTCTACAAGCTCCGCTGTTCTTTGACTGTTATGACTAAAGTTGAACTCCCATCTCTGCATTTAGGGAGCTGCACCTCATTGCCATTCCGTTCTTGAAGTGTCCATGACGATTTCATGAGTCTCGACTCAGTTGAGATCGGTGAACGGTCACGTGCTCGACTCGCTAGGGGCGCGAGTCCTCAGTCGCGGCTCGCGCAATTCACTCTACTCTTGCCCATCACCAGCGTAACGCGTTAACCCTCCAGCACTAACCATGAGTTTCGGTCCTGGTCATTAACATCGTCACTCTCAAGCCCGTATACCGTCGATCTAGACAAGCTCCCCCATCTCCATCGTATACATCCTTATAGCCTTCGTCTGAGTCACGCCGCGTCTGCTGACTTATGGATGTATCACCACTACGAGGAATCCTTCTAGATATGACTGGCGACGGGCCTGACTTCAAAAGTATTGACGACAACTATACGAATCCTCTCGCTCGTGACGTGATATCCCTGGAATCTGATTGGAGGCAGAGCTCGATAAGTTCGACGTTGTGGTAGATGCCTGACTTGACAACGCAACGTGAATCGGATTCCAACGCGGGTGGTGAGCTCTTTCTGTGACACGCATTCTTTTTCTGTGTGGATTTTTCTCGCGGTTCGTCCTTGTTTTCGGTCAACCTCGTCATGGAGAGTCTGTCATCGGCAAGCCCTTCGAGTTGCTGCCCCCTACGACCCTGCACGATCCAAATCCCTCGACCTTCTTGGCGTCGCGTTACTTTCACGCTTCCATGAATTGCACACACTGGAGGACCTAGACGAAGCTATTGCCTTTTGTCGGCAAGCACTCAATCTGCGCCCTCCATGCCCTCCGACCCTTATCCGTCGGAAAGGCACTTTACACGCATATCGAATTTTGCGGCACTACCTCCAAATTGAACGAAAGAATCTATCTTCACGTTCAGGCCACTGATGTGCGGAACGCCACCGCTCTTGACCTCCTGACCGCATACGGACGACTAGGTCTTTCGTACTGGACTCGTTACGAACATCTTGGTGATTTGAAGGACAATCAGGCAGCGTTGTTCTGGTGTCAAGAGCCGCGCGAATGGTGCCCAACGGGGCATCCTAATCGTGCGATGATACTGCACACGCTGGGACTCGCACATCATGCTCGATGCGAGCAACGGGATCGCAACGGAAGCGACGATGTGGAAGAAGCTGTCCGACTTTATCGAGAAGTCCTCATCCTCTGGCCTCCAGGGCACCATTGTCACTCGACTGTTCTTCACGATCTCGGCCTCGCGATGTATTCTCACTTCAAAATATTCCGCAAAGATGAATATCTCGTCCATGCCGTTATACATCTTCAGGACGCTCTCGCCTTGACTTCACGTCCACAGTCAGCGGTATTACTTGTCGACTTGGCCTATGCCTTACACGCCGTTGCAGAGCGATCACATGTGGTGGGAGACTTCTACCAGCCGATTTCGCTATATCGCAGAGCACTCGAAGCTCAAGATCTTCCTGGTACACATCGATCGTATGCATTATGCGGCCTCTGCATTTCTCTATATTCTCAGTTCCTGCGATGTAAAACGCAAGACTATCTGAACGAAGCCATGTCTATCCATCAACAGCTTACTGGTGCATCCACACACGTACCTCCGAGACGCCGTGACCAACTTGAAACCCTGAAGAAAGTAATAGATCCTCACCTCCGAGCTCAAGACGAAGAAGTCCCGGACAATGACAACTTCGAGTTCGTCGCATGTCTTCGCTCAACCGCTCATTTGTCAACTGACAACTCTGGATGGTGATCGAATAGACGTACAATGCTCCCTCATCTCTCACGCATGGCCTCAGGGCTGCCTGTATCTTCAGGTAAGTCGTTACAATCTTCCTTCTTGCCATCTCGCTCCTTCCGTCGGTCTATCAATACTGTATTATTAGAAGTGTCCACTCTGGCTAGTCGTGCCTCCCCCCAAACACGGAATCCTCTCCATCCTACACGAAATCACAAGTTCAGTGTTGGGGCCGTTCAGCGGTTGCTCTCGGAAAGAGAGAGGGAAGAAGAACTAAGGTGGATTCCAACATTGAAGATGGCGGAAAAGGAGAAGCACGACGAAGCAGCGGGTGAGGTGAATGGCGAGAAGGGTCTTGTAAGGAGCAATCTTGAGGGTACGCCGATTTCGGCGCAAATAGCAGCGAAGACGTCGAAGAGTAAGGCTATGATACGACGATGGAAGACGTTCTGGCGTATCAGAAAATAGAAGCTTGTGAGTATCGTACTATTCTGCCTTACCAGTCATCAAATCACTCTGACCAGATAGATAGTATTGTGAAGGCATTTCGAACACGGCACCGCCTTCGTTCTGTCTCTTCTACGCAACTCACTACATATGGACATCTTTGATTATGGTAATTGCGATGGTCGGGTACGTTGATACTCCCTTCACGACCGAGGTATAGCCGCGGATGCTCTGGCGGCCTTGTCTCTCAAGGCGGTCGAAGGGTGTACATATGGATGGGGAAGGGTCGTTGTAGGTAAGGAATTTTGCAGGGTCATACCCTCCAACAGAGAAAACAATTGGAACATCCTTTCTTCTCTCGAGGGGCCCAACGTAATGTACGTATGGGGCGTTGTGGATGCATGTGGACTCTTGTGTTATCCCATTTTCCCTCGGCTTTTGGATGGAAGCATCCGGGATTTCGGAGGCGATACAAGCCTCCTGCGCTGCGGTTGCTTCTCCTCTTACGAGATATTCAGGCCGACTATTGATGTCCCAGCCATGCCTTTGCAGTACACAAGCCATTGTTCTCAAAGTGTACCATCGGCAGCTATCGCCACGTCTCGGGGGCGCCCAGCTCAGGAAAGCGGTCGGATCTTAACCTTTTCAGATACAGGGTCGACGGGCAGTCTGATTTACCGAAGGAGTGTTTTCTCCGTTTCAATCTGGTGTCGGCCTGCTCTATATACTTACGCAGCACGAATATGTCGGATTGAAGGCCAGGTGGAATGATGCAAGGAGAACAGTGCATGCACAACGCACTCAGGAGAGCTACAGGTTCAACGCGAGGTAAAGTAAACGTAATACAACGACAGATAAAGCATAGAAAATCACGATAGCATGACGACAACAACGTGCACAGACGAGTTAAAAAGCGAGGTCCCATATCACCAGCCCAATGCCCAACGTGTCGCACTGTATCCTGTTTTTACGAGCGATACCGTGTCCAGCACCGCCGTCACTGCTAGTGGCTCCGTACGCGGATGCAACCTCCAGCTACGATGGGCAAGTGTTATGTTACGACGAACGGTCCTCCATGCCTCCCAAGCCTGAGCGGCAGTCGGTCTGGCCTCCGGTACGGGGCGAACCATGAGCTCTATCATCGGCTCTAAGAAACTAAGGTTGGAGAAATGCTGTAAAAATATGAGCACCGAGCATCAATAAAAACTGCGAGCGACCTACGTCGTAAAGTTGGTGTCGGAAAATGTTTCCGATGATGAAGATGTCGACCTTGAAGGGGTCGTAAGGAACAGTATGAGAAAGTTCGGGAACCTCTTTATCTCGACCATCCTTCCCGACCACCAGTCTGGGGACGTCCGGAGGGAAGTAGGAAGAGATACCGTAGTCTATAAAGTAGTACTTCACGCCTCCCACAGCAGTACGAGAAAGACATGGAGCGACAGTGACGATGTCGGGAGATAATTTTTCGTAGATTGGATGTCGGCCTTGCGGATAGAGGAGAGAAGCGTCCATCATGAGATTCCTCCGCGCACAGTCGCTGGAAGAATGTGAGTATTTTCCGGGAATATAACCTATTTCAGACTCACCGGTGAGCGACACCATTCTCGTGCAGGAATACCAAACCCTGTACGGCTCATTTTTAGTGTTCTCCCAGGTCGTGAAGGAGTCGAGCACGTACCTCAAGTATTTGGTCGCAGAAATCGACGACCTCCGCTACAGTTTCAAACGGAGGGTCGTCCATGAGTGACAGAAAAGGCATGACCATGTAGGAAACAGTCGGATCGTCTGTGTCCTCGAACAGGTCAAGGATGGGAACGCTATGATTGCGCGGATCTTGTCGTAATGATTCTTGGTACAGGTATGTGGCGATGCCCGACTCATTGTCGCCTTTCTTGACTCTCTTGATATAGACCAATTTACCATCCGACATGCGAGTTGCGTCAACGAGATGGGTACGCGGCTGGATACAAGACAATGATGACCTTAGCGAGGGACGTTTGAAGCAATCAAGACAACGTACTGGAAGTGGAACAGAGTCCTCACAGTCCGTCACCTCCTTTCTGGGAGATATCCATGAGGGTTTCCAGCCAGGCCTTAGCCTTGGTCTGAGCATATAGCCGCGCGATTGCAAGAAAAGCTGACGATCCCGCCAGGTGACTTCGTTTCCTTTAAGGACTCCGAATAACCTATCAGCTTCATCATTCAAGTTGTCGGGTGAAACGTCGCTGTCGGAAGACATTGCTAGAGGAAGGAGAGGAGCGGTGTCAGCTGAATGGATGGAGACGCCCGACTCTCAGTGGTGGTGCTATACAAGTAGTGGTGGTAGCGTCTAAGTATGGACGGTGAAAGAGCTGGACGTCGGACAGTCTCCGCGTGTGAATTGTGCAGCGTCCAACAGCCGGGCCGTATCTGGCCGTACTGGAGGCCGTAAGACAGTACGTTGTACTCTTTTTGTCAAGACGTCGCCAACGCCCCAGCCGAAGTCGTCCCCAATGCTCGTGTTACTATAGTATTGTTTCCCTTTCGTTGCTGATAGGTTAGCCCAATATTCACGTAACATCAAAGGTACTACTGTACCATTTGAATCGGTTCGCCATGTCACGGTCACAGACCTTCCTCTGGTGGGCGAAATCTGGACAGGTCACAGGTCACAGAGGCCCACCTGGCGAAAAAATCTCCGTGACCGGGCGCCTTCGGCGCCATATACCCCCTCAAAAACCGCTCAAAAATGAATAAAAAAGGCGAAATTTCCGGTTCGTCACGCGGCTCCGCCGCGTGCTGGCGTGGCGAAATCTGAACTTTTCGGTCACAGTCACGAGGGGGTGGCAAACCGATTCGAATGGTACAGTATCTTGTCCCGGGCCTCCTGCCATCTCAATCAGAAACTTGACCAAAACGCTTGGTATTCATTCTTTGACTCCAATCAGTGTTGTGTGGCAAATTTCTGGCGAGAAGTTTACATACATTCACGGCATGTGCGTCCATTTATATTATGTTGCGGGAAGGTGATCACGTCAGGAACCACGAGAACGAAAGGTGGTTGCCCAGTCTAAGTACTATCGCTTCCGCGGCTATAGTCGGACTTTGAGCCACAGGTTCTTATGGGTCCTTGTTTTCATCGATTATATACAGCGCACGCCAGATCCCCGGGTAAGTGCGAATCACACGAAGTATACGGTCTTTTGTGGCTCGATACGTTTGCAACACCCACCAGGCTCTGGGCGGCTCATGGTGCGCGTTCTTTCGTCAATTTAGTCTGGAGGTAATTCCCCAGAGAAAAGGTGCCCATATCACAACTTGTATAAAAGGGATTCATATATCAGTCTATTAATACCCATCCACTCAACATACCTTTCCTTCATCAGCGAATTCGTGAAAAAGTGGCCGGACGTTGGCCGGGTTACAATCCCGCGCCGGAAGGGAAGCCGATTGTAATCCATTATCATTTCAATATGAGCAGGAAGGCACGATCGTAGCACGTTCCATCCCGAGATCAGGCCCATGTGGTGTTGGAACGACTCACAATCCGACACAACACGGACGAGTAATCACAATGCGTTACAATCCAAGGTCTCACTTCCTCGGGGTTTGAGCTTGTTTGGGCTAACAGTCAAACTGTACGTTATGTGCGTGAGTTTTTAGCCTACTCTTCTGATCGCACTGTGAACATGATTGAATATCCTGGGAGAAGCAACCTCTCACAAGTATCGCTGTCTACTCATTGACCCTCCTTCGTGCGTCGACTGTGATGCAGATGTAGAATTTGAAGAGCATAAGGGCTGCGAAGAAGGTAACATAGCTCGAGTACTGCATGACCAAACAAAGGCCCGTTAGTGTAGTAGTAATGTACCATGTAATTAGATAGTTTTGAATGAAATACAACCTTTGCCCTTGAGTTCGAGCCCCAGTCTGCGCGTGCCGTCCATGAAGCGATAATCCTGAGCCATTTACAACCCGCCGGGTGGCTGATAAGATAAGGAAGGAGGCCAGGAGGTGACGCGGGACCGGGGGCGAGAGGCGGAAGAGCCTCCGCCTCCGGCCCTTTTGGCATTTAGCCGGGTGCCTATCGGGTTTATCGTAACAGATGGAAAAGTTGATGGCAAGGGTTTAATCCACTTCCACCTGTTACAATC